ATGATCCACACAGTCGAATGCCTTTGCATAGTCAATAAAACACAGGTAAACATCTTTCTGGTATTCTCTGCTTTCAGCCAGGATCCATTTGACATCAGCAATGACATCCCTTGTTCCATGTCCTCTTCTGAATCTGGCTTGAATTTCTGGCAGTTCCCTGTTGATATACTGCTGCAGCCACTTTTGAAAGATCTCTAGCAAAATTTTACTTGTGTGTGATATTAATGATATTGTTCAATAATTTCCACGTTCCTTCTTCAGAGCACCTTTCTTTGGAATGGGCATAAATATAGATCTTTTCCGGCCGGGTGGCCAGGCAGCTGTCTTCCAAATTTCTTGGCATAGACGAGTGAGCACTTCCAGTTTGATGTTTGTTGAAACATCTCAGTTGATATTCCATCAATTCCTGAAGCCTTGTTTTTTGCCAATGCCTTCAGTGCAGCTTGGACTTCTTCCTTCAGTAGCATCGACTCCTGATCATATGCTACCTCCTGAAACGGTTGAATGTCAACCAATTCTTTTTGGTACAGTGACTATGTATTCCTTCCATCTCCTTTTGATACTTGCTGCGTCGTTTAATATTGTCCCAGTAGAATCCTTCAGTATTGCAACTCGAGGCTTGAATTTTTTCTTCGGTTCTTTCAGCTTGAGAAATGCCAAGCATGTTCTTCCTTTTTGGTTTTCTATCTCCACGTCTTTGCACATGTCATTGTAATACTTTACTTTGTCTTCTCAAGCCACCGTTTGAAATCGTCTGTTCAGTTCTTTTACTTCATCATTTCTTCCTTTTGCTTTAGCTACTCGACGTTCAAAAGCAAGTTGCGTGATGTCCTTGATGTCATCCCACAACTTGTCTGGTCTTCAGTCATTAGTGTTCAACACGTCAAATCTATTCTTAAGATGGTCTCTAAATTCAGGTGGGATATACTCAAGGTCGTCCTTTGGCTCTCGTGGACTTGTTCTAATTTTCTTCAGTTTCAACGTGAATTTGCGTGTGAGCAATTGATGGTCTGTTCCAGTCAGCAGCCCCTGACTGCTGATATTGAGCTTTTCCATTGTCTTTTCCCACAGATGTAGTTGATTTGATTCCTGTGCATTCTATCTGGTGAGGTTCACATGCATAGTCACTGTTTATGTTGGTGAAAAAGTTATTTGCAATGAAAAACTCATTGGTCTTGCCAAATTCTATCATGTGGTCTCTGGCATTATTTCTGTCACCAAGGCCATATTTTCCAACTACTGATCCTTCTTCTTTGTTTCCAACTTTCGCATTCCAATTTCCAGTAATTGTCAATGCATACTGCTTGCATGTTTGATCAATTTCAGACTGAAGAAGTTGGTAAAAATCTTCAACTTCTTCATCTTTCGCCTTAGTGGTTGATGCATAGATTTGAATAACAGTCGTATTAACTGGTCTTCCTTGTAGAGATATGGATATTATCTGACAGATGCGCAGGGGTTAGGAGCTTTAGGAGAAGATATTTTCAGAGTGTCAAAGCATCTCTCTCAAGGTATTTATTAACTACTAAGGGAAAATCCCCCACGTATCTGTCAGTCTGTCATACTACGGGGGCTTGCATGTTGCTTTGATGCTGGAAGCTATGCCACCAGTATTCAAATACGAGCAGGGTCATCCACGGCGGACAGGTTTCAGCTGAGCTTCCAGACTGAAACAGACTAGGAAATTACTTATACTCAACAGAATTTTTAATTATCTAAACATTTGCAAAGCACTTTATTTTTTAGGAAGGTCCATGTCAGTTACCAAGTTTGCCTTATTCTGTCTTTTGCTAAATGATTAACAGTACTTAGGTACTATAGTTTGTACAATGGTGTAAGTAGTTTCCTTTTTGCCCCGTCACTTATAAATACAATGTGCCAGGCACTATTCTAAGTGCTTTACATACACGAACTCATTAAATCCTCACAACAATCCTATGAGGGAGGTACTTTTATTATCCCCATTTTACAGATGAGAAAACCGAGTCACCAAGAGGTTATGAGACCTGTCCATGGTCATGCTGCTGTGATTCAAAGTACGGAAGTCTAGCGCTCTAGTCCCTGCTTTTAATCACTCTGCTATACTGCATCTTCAGGGATTTAAAAATATCTGTCTTGGTGTCTAACCTAGCAAGCAAAAATAAAAACTGAAAAATACAGAAGGACCAAAACATTAAAGGTCTCAAACCTCAAAAGATTTAAGATTAAAAAAGAAAAAAAAAATTTAAAAGATGATTCTACTATGGCAAGTATTAGGAGATATGTCCAGAGCATGGCTTCTAAAGAAAAATAAGGATCATTTTAATTCTCTATAAATACCACATACCCCTACTCTCCACTGGGAAAAAGCAATCAATAACCAATTAAACCACAAGGCAAATAAACTTATCCTGCACAGACTGCTTTAACATCAGAAAGACTGATACAGGCCGCAAGACATCCAAGGGGAACTGGGAACCCATGGAGCTAGGTATCATCCATGAATACTTAACAAAGGGAACCACAGCACGAATCAGATGTTTGCGAAAGATCCTAGAGATACACTAAAATACCACGATAGGCAACACTACAGTATTATTTAATTCCAGTCAATCCATTATGCTGAACAAAGATTAGATTTCCATCTGGGCATGTACTGGAATCAATAGAGCTGATTAATTGCTCTGAAAAAGCAATTAACTGTATTCTATTAATTAACTCAATTCTGTTCTCTGAAGTTAAAAATCACTATGGATCTGAGATTTTTAAAGTTCTGACTGAAAAACTACTTAAGGGTAGAAAACCTATAATTCAAGAAAGTAGTCTGCAGTTTACAGAATTAAGGAGGATAAATAATGATAAACATGGTTCATTCCTCTTTGTCCTCATTTTCTGTAATTATTCCAAATACAATATGGACCTTGGGGTTCGTCCCAAACTGCTCTTCATATCAGTGAAGTATTTAACATGGGCCAGACACTAAAGTCAAGTTCTAAAAATGCAGAAACATGATCGCTATCCTCTAAGAAACTCAATCTAGTGCAAGAGACATGTACGTAAAAGATCTTTTCAATACACTGTAGTACACACTATGGGCACTTAACTGAATGACACGATTAACATACACACTATACTGAAACAAGAAGATAAGTGATTATTAGAGGGGCATGTTTATTCTTTTAATCTTTATAATAATCAGAATAATTTAAAATGTAAAATATTATTACAGGGCTTATAATAAAAATAGTAATTTACTGCCTACCCAATGCCACCCTACCATTAAGTTCACTTATTTTAACTGTTTCATGTGATATTACCCTGTGGTGCTTTATACCTACATTATTCCTCTACCTTCAAAATTTATTCCACATCTGATGCCTTCCACCACTTGCACCAAAAGTCCAAGTCACTTTCATCTCACTTGCTCTCTAATCTACTAACCAGTCTCCCTACTTCTACTCTTAGCTTCCTTCAGTTCATTCTCCCCAAAACAAGTGTTGTTGTGTTGTTATTGGATGCCGTTGAGTTGATTCCAACTCATAGAGACTCCATGTGACAGAGTAGGCTGTTATCTTTATGGGAGGAGATTACCAGTCTCTCTTCCAGGGAGCAAACCACCAACCTTTCAGTTAGCAGTTGAGTGCTTAACCATTGTGTCACCAGGGCTCCTTAAAAAAATTAGAATAGTCTTTAAACAGTGAAAATCAGATGATAACACTCCATTGTCTAAAATCCTCCACTGGCTTTAATGAATATCCAAAAAACCAAACCTATTGCCATCAAGTCGATTCCAACTCATAGCAACCCTACAGGACAGTAGAACTGCCCCACAGGTTTCTAAGGCTGTAATCTTTATGGAAGCAGAATGCCACAGCTTTCTCCTGCAGAGTGGCTGGTGGGTTTGAACTGCTGACCTTTCAGTTAGCAGCTGAGCACTTAATCACTGCCACCACAGCTCCGCTTAATGAACCTAGAATAAAGTAAAAACTCCTTTCTACATCCTACAAAGCCCTACATAATTTGTCTCCTGCCTATATCTCTGACCTCCTTTCCTATGCTCTCCTGCTTAGTCATTATGGCCAAGCCACACTGGCTTTCTTGCTTTTTCCTGGAACTCTTAAGCTCACACATAACTCATGGCCTTTACACTTGCCATTACCTCCACCTTGAATACTCCTGCACCAGATCTTCTCACAGCGGGCTCCTTCTCCATCATCCAGGTCACTGCTCAAATGTCACCACCTTAAAGAAGGCTTCCTTCACCATCCTGCTTAATAGATACATATATCTCCTTCCCATGGTACCATCCCAGTTACACTGTACTCAATTACCATGGTTTATTTTCTTAGATCAGTTATCATTATAAGAAATTATATATACATATAACTTGCTTATATATATATTTTGCTTATGTGGTTATTGTTTCTCTCTCCAATCCATGTAAGTTAGCAGCTTTGTCCAACTTAGTACATGATCTCTAGTGCCCAGTTCTGTAGCAGCACCTACCAAAAGCTCAAAGAATATGTGTTGAATTTGTTTCTAAATTTGCTGAGGATCTGAATTGAATCTTTTTTTCTTTAATGGAAAATTTTATAATGAAATTTTTCAAACAAAGAGTAGAGAGAATAGTTTAACAAATCACCATATATTCAGTTTCAACATCGCCAACTGACAGCCAATCTTGTTTCAACTATACCGCTAGTCATTTCATCTCTCATTTGAAGCAAATTCCAGATAACTATCATTTCATATATATTTAAGTAGTATCTCTCAAAAATAAAGATCTTTTATATATAATTGCCATATGAGGTACCTTTAAAAATTACAAAACTTGGGGTCCCAGACCTCTCTGGGACTTAATGTATCAGAATCTCTAGAGTGGGACATGTATTTTTGAAGTATTCTTCAGATATTTCTGATTCAGCCAGACTATTACATAAGCAATGGCTGACATTTGGGAGTGATTCTAGAAGGCTCAGAATTGTCAGTTACATAGGAATCTAATCAGGCAAAGACACCAATGAAAATACCATTTAAGAGACAAAGTTTCTGAGTTAAAAGATCAAAAGAGTTTCAGAATTTAAAAAGAAAAAAGAACTGGACGAAATATTGAATCAAAGAGTCCTTACTTGGATACCGAAAGCGGTTGATTAAATTCTTCTCCCACAGCAACGTTGCTCCCTTCAAAACTGGGAATATCGACTGCTTTTAATGAAGACGCACTACCTGGAAGACTTGTGACTTCATTATTAATATCAACAGAAAAATTCATGTCCTCACTGGAAATTTTGGTATCATCTTGCTTCAGCTGAGATTCAGGCTCTTGATCATCACCTGCTGCATTCCAAAATAAACTAGCACCTGGAGGTTAAATAATTTAACAGATTCTGAAACAAACATTCAACTATTAAAAACAATTTTTTGACAAACCTTTAAGTAAGACTAGTTTCATTATTTTAATGCAGTTACCTACAACTGTTTACAGATTGTATTTCCTCAGAAGTGCCACCAAGAGGTAGGTGAAGGGTGGAAAGATAGAAAGCTGAGTGAGGGGAAAGTGATCTTTCTGGGCTCTGCCCAATTGCCCCAGCCTCTTCAAGAGGAGGGGCTTTCAAATGATCTGTTTTACATATTAAAGTTCTGAATACAATATGGGGTGGGGGAGAGGGTGTTGAAAACTGCTGTTCTGGATACTAGGAGAAAATATATAAAATACAAATCCCCTGGCTCTCTGATTTGATCTCTAAATACAATATTTGAGACTATATTTGGGATCCATCAGACTTGTGTATCAGCAAGTATTTAAAATAACTGGTGCTTCTGATAAGAATAAAGAGTTAAGAACACTGAACATCTGAATTCTCTGACATTAGGTCATATATCAAATGTTTTCCAAACTTTATGGACCACTTTCATAGTATCTGCAGAGCTATGTATATGTATTATTATTTGTTTACTATTTTTCTTTAAATCAGTTCACTTAATTTTTACTTAGCCTTATCCTCAACACAATCATACCTGTAAAAGCACAGACTTGATGTGCTAATTATATTTTTCCAATACAAAGAATAACATATCTGTAAAATATTCATCTGTGTACCACCAAAACTCATCTTTCTACCATGAATGATACGAATACCACAATGGTTAAATGGTTAAATGGTTAAAACCAAAAAGTAAATCCAAGTATTTGATGGACCACCTGGGTGATTTCATGAAAATAAATTAAATAATAAATGAATGAAGTATTTTTAATTGTGCATGCACTAAACATTTTTTTTTTAATTTAAGCAAAAACAGGGACTATTTTGAAAAACTTAGTCCTAAGTACTGCTACTCTTCCTGGATACATATCAACACATACCTTTAGAAAATTAACTTGTAGAATAAATGTGCTTCTAAAAGCCACTTTGTTCAACAGACTATTAATAATCTATTTTTCTGCATATAAATAACTCTGAATATGAATCTATGAAGTTTTAAAAACCATGTTTGAAAACTTGTTTCAAATAATTTTCAGAAAATCAGTTCAAACACATGAATGACTCCATTCAGTTATTTATTCGGCACCTATTATGTATTATCAGGCATTATGCTAGCACTGAGATACACTGGTGAATAAGTCAGTGTCCCAGATCTCCAAAAGCTTAGTCTAGTGGCAGATACAGATAATAAGCAACCATAACATAGTAAAAACGGAATTTTACAAGGACATAGGGGGAAACCGACACTTTTGGGTATATTTACTTAGCTCACAATACCCACACCTCCTTTACTAGCACCCCTCCAAGACCCACTCACCCACACCCATACAACTTTTTCTTGGGAATTGCCACCCCCTGCAATTCACAGATGTGAATCTCCAGGAGGTATGTCCCTATTATTTGATTCTAAACCCAAAACAACAAAAACCAAACCCGCTGCTGTCAAGTCAATTCCGACTCATAGCAACCCTAGAGGACAGAGTAAAACTGCCCCATAGGGTTTCCAAGGAGTACCTGGTGGATTCGAACTGCTGACCTTTTGGTTAGCAGCCATAGCTCTCAACCACTATGCCACCTGGGTTTCCATGTGATTCTAGGCCCCCCTTTATCACTGAACCAGGAATTAAAGCCTAATTCAAACTAGGCCATTCAGGTTCTCTGGAATTTGAAACTGAGACTGAGGGATAACAAGCTGCTTTGTATATATGGCTAGAACCGTTTAATATATAAACTTTAGCATTCTGGGCCATGAGAAGCAGTGAAAGCAAGACTGCAGACAGCTTTGAGTAAAAGAGTCATGTAGGTAACAAGGGAGTCCTAGTGTTGTTACAGTTTCTAGTTTTAGTCTTTTCTGATGTCCAGCTCCACTTCTGGCCTTGGCTTTGGTGAAACACCCCCATATACTTTCAGCAAAATCTCCTTCCTTGTTTAAGTTAGTTCAAGGTGGTTTATGTTACTTGCAGCCTAAGAATCTTAATACTGAGTAGTACCTGAATTTGACGTACAAATGTACATGTGACTTGCTATCCTCACTCCTTATTCCCCCTCCTACCCAGATAGTTTAGATAATGTATGAGTTCAGAAAAAGAATCAGAAATCTGCCTTTCTTTTTTATTCTTCCTCTTAAATTTTTATTCTCTAGCCTCAAATCTTCATGTTACCTCCATTAAATCTATGTCATCAACTCCACTCCACTCCTATACTTCTGACATTTGAGTATCTCCATTCACATTTCCAAATGTATCTCCATTCATATTTCCAGAAGTAACTCAATCTCAACAAGCATTTAAACTGAACTCATCTTCTGTCTTCTGCTTCTCTAACTTGCCTCCTCCTGTTTAATGCTACTACTATTTCACCTGTCATTCAGGTTTAAAATCCTGGAGTAATTTTTTTACCCCATCTTTAATAAACTTCACCTTACATTATTTTGTACTGTCAAAAATCAAGAAACCTACATTGGTACATTACTACCAACTACACTCCAGACTTTATTCAGATTTCACCAGTTTTTCTGCTAATGTCCTTTTTCTGCTCCAGGATCTGATCCAGGATACCACACAGCATATGGCATTTAGCTGGAGTAACTTTTAAATCCTCCCTCCTCCTCAACTAGCAAATCCAATTAGTTATTAAATCTTATCAACATCTTACATGACTCTTCCTCTTCATTCTTGTTACTCCCACCCTATTTTCTAGACACGGGAGCCCTGGTGGTGCAGTAGTTAAGCCCTCGGCTGCAAACCAAACGTCGGTGGTTTGAACCTACCAACTGCTCCATGGGAGAAAGATGTGGCAGTCTGCTTTCATAAAGATTTACAGCCTTGGAAATTCTATGAGGCAGTTCTACTCTGTCCTATAGGATTGCTATAACTCACAATCGACTCTACAGCAATGGTTTGTTTTGGTTTTGGTATGTTCTAGGCACCTTGCTAGATGCTAGGGATACAAAGAACTTCTTGAAGATCTCAGTCTGGTGGTAATCAAAAATCAAGTATTTGTTAATCAAAACAAATACATGTCATTTACATCATTAATTGAATGTTTAAAAAAAGGCCTTTAATGTTTACCAGACGGAGTAGATATTCCTTTGTGAAAAATAAAAGCTCTCCAAAACACAGTAAATAGGAATTTATGTTTTAACGCCAGACTGTCTGAATTCCATTCCAGAATCTGAGACTTACTAGCTGTGTAACCTTGGGCAAACAACACGGCCTCTATGTCTCAGTTTCCTCATTTATAAAAGTGTAATAACAATTGCACCTACCTCTAAAGACTGTTCCATGGATTAAATAAATTGGTTATACACTAAGCAATGAGAATAGTGCCAGGCACATGGTAAATGCTTAACAAATGTTAGCTGTTATTACTATCATCACTTTCCCTTTTGTATGCTTCACGTTCCCAGTCAAACTGAACAACTCACAAAGCCTTGTGTTTTTCCACTGAACCCATGCCCTTTTCGCTACCCAATCTATTTTCCCATTTTTCCAAATCTACTTACTGAAATCCTACATAACCTTCAAGGACCAGATATACATGAAACCTTCCCTGATCCCTCAAACTACAGATGAGTTCATTTATTAGAGTTGGGTCCAGCCTGGGGATAGTAGCAAAAACAACCAGTGTATCATGTTATATGATTTCATGTCTGTCTTAAGGTATAGTTTTATTTCACAAAGAGCAAAATTACACGAAGACTTAAACAAATTATACTCTGATCACCTTGGTTTTGGTTCTATTTGTACTGTACACCAATTCCAATGTAAAATTTTAAAGTAGATATGAAAAAGCATTCTAAAAATAATTCCTTATGAATTAAAAAATTACCTGTGCTCACAGCAATGCTTACACTTTTTCTCATGTGCAAGCCAGAAGACTGTGCTTCCGTGGAAACCAACTCCATTTGTCTTGTACTGTTTTCGACAGTGGTTGTCTTAGGGGAACAGGGCTGCAGAGACTGTGCTTCTAATAAACGCTGAATCTGTATCAATTAGTAACATATTTTAAACTGACAGTGAAGTAATCAACAAAATTGGCACAGTTTAATTATTAATTATAATGTTTTCCAATTATAAATAACTGACTTTTATCTGTATTTTCTCACATTTCAAGTACAGTATATCATGAAACTTCTTCAAAGTAGCACATCATTATCATCAGTCATTAAGATGTACTTTGTGCTAGGTATAAATTTAAAAATAAAAATATAAAGATGTTTTAAATTGGCACTCATGTAGAAAACTGAACAGTTAACATTTTAAACCAACATTTTATTCTTATTTCATTTACAAATCAAAAGCAAGATTGCAGAAATACTCTAACTCCATGTACCAAATATGGACCATTTCACACAGCACTCATCTTACAAAGGTTAATCAGAATTGCCCATGTTTAGGCATGCTGAAACTGGCAATAATATGCATGCCAATAGCTAACTTAGTGAATGCTTCCTGTCATGAGACACTATGCTAAGAACTTTCATATATGATTTTTATAATAACTCTGAGAAGAAAGTACTACTATTAAATGCATTTTACAGACAAGAAAATTTGATTAACCACCTAGGTCATATAACAAACAAATGGCAAAACTGAGGTTCAAACACAGAAAGACTCTCCCTCTCTTTTAAACTGAGATATAATTCACATACTATAAGTCACCCTTTAAAATTTACAGTTCAGTGGTTTTTAGTAATATTCACAAAGTTGTGTAACCATCGCCACCATCTAATTCCAGAATATTTTCCTCTCTCCCCCATAAACACCCGCAAGCATTAGCAATTTCCCATTCCCCTTCCTCCCAGCCCCTGGCAACCTACTTCCTGTCTCTATTCTGGGCATTTCATATAAATGGAACCGTACGTGGCCTTGTCCTAGCTTCTTTCACTTAGCATCATGGGTTTACCTGTGTTACAGCATTTATCAATACTTCATTCCTTTTTATGGCTGTGATATTCCATTGTATGGATACACTACATTTTGTTTATTTATCAGTTGATGGACAGTTGGGTTCTTTCTACTTTTTGGCTATTTTGAATAATGCTGCTATGAGCATTCCTATACACATTTTTGTATGCATATGTTTTCATTTCATTGGGTATATATCTGAAGTGAAAGAACCTCCCTTTTTAAACACTGTAATTTTCTTTCTGTCTCCCTATAAATGATACTATTGTGTTCAGCTATCTCATTAATTTCAGTGGATTAACTTTATTAAATATGAGAACATAAGTATCCAGTAAATTACTTAGATCAGTATATGACCTGCATTAATACAAAATAGCGTATGTATTTATAGTGGTTAGGAGCATGGACTTTGGGGTCAGACACACATAGTTTAAATCTTACTCTGCGACCTAAAAGTAAGACTGTTGAGAGGATTAAAACAGATAAATAAAATACTTGTAATTTATTGACTGCTTACTATATAAGCCAGGCCCTACACTAAGCACTTTATTAACTCTTTTACTCTTCATCTATACATATAATGAGGTCCCTGGGTGGCACAAATGGTTTGTGCTCGGCTAACTGAAGGACTGGCAGTTCAAATCCACCCAGCAGCACCTCGGAAGAAAGGCCTGGTAGTCTACTTCCATCAGATTACAGCCATTGAAACCCTATGGACTACAGTTCTATTCTGACACACATGAGGTCGCCATGAGTTGGAATCGACTTGATGGCAATGAGTTTGGTTTTTCTGGATACAGATAGTAACTATTATCACTCCTATTTTACAGATGAGAAAACTGAGGTTTAAAGAAATCACAGAGAAAAGCACTCAATAAAAGACTTACCATACATGCTAAGTGCCTGATATTAGTTACTATGTTAAAAAAAAATGTTCATCTACTACCTTTATTTCTAGTTTTTAACATTTTAATACATTAATCACTAAAGTCCTATAATGCTTTTTAATATTTCATACACTTAATATCCTCTTCTCATTACTTTTCCTTTTCAGAATTTTCTAAGATCTTTTGGCAAAAGGACTTCAGTGTTATTCTTTCATGTTCCACTCCTCAAGCTCAGTCTTCTCCATTAAAAAAGAGGGAGGGACTAGACTGGAATATTAAAATATACTACAAAGCTATTATGAGTAAATTGAATGGTACTGGAATAGGCAGGTAGATGAACAGAGCAGAATATAGCCCAGAAATAGATGCAAACACATGATACCTTCATTATACAATTAAAAACAAATTTATAAATCAACAAAAAGATATATCATATTTTTACACAAATAACGCATGCATTATACGTTTCTGCAAACCCCTCAAGCCTCCCCACATGCTATTTTCATAAGTGCGCTATACCAATATTTTTTTACATTACTGACTTTAGTTTCGTTTTTTTTTTTTCCTATCCAACGGATTGAATGTCACCAGGATAAAACTGATCTCATGGAAGCGTCATTTAACGTAGGTATTTTCCTAAACCAAGTGCAACCAATGGTGAACTGAACAGGCTCATGATGGAAATGGGACACCATGTTGAAACCAGAGTATGAATGCACAAAGAGCTATAAATTAGTAAGTAAGAAATATCCTAGGCCTAAAACTATAAGAACAAGATGTTATTTATATTTTATTGCTTCCATAAATCTTAAACTGAAACATAACTTTTGATAATCAATGTCTCTGAAATCAACAAATAAGTCACCAGAAGAAATTGTGTTTTCATCTTAAAATCGGCCATTATAGTTTATTCATTATCAACATCATCATCATTCAACTCCCAGAACCCTTCAAAGTTCAATCCCTCATCACTATCATCATTGAAATATCTCAGAGCGGCCTGCAGACTCTCTTCTGTGACTTCTGAACTGATGTCATCATCATCATCACTGCCTTTGGCATCTTCACCTTTGTCATCGATATTCTGCTGGCACACAATTCCAGCTTTTCTGAAGCTGATGCAGATGGTTTCTGGGGTATTTTCTGAAGCCACTGCAGATGATTTCTGGGGTTATCCGCCCAAGCAGAAGTCACCCACTTGCAGACCTCTGCAAACGACGCCCGCTTCAGTCATCATGATGGTGTGAACTCATGAATCCCAGACTGCATCCATCCATCCCACTCTCTTCTCAAAGAAGTCTTGAACAGGTGGCTGACTGCTATATTTAGTGGCTGCAGCTTGCAGCTAAGGCCACCAGGTATGACTGCCATATAGGCATCAGTTAATATAATTTTGAATGTTTTTTTCTTTGTGAGTAGCCATGGTAGCGAAAATCAGTAACGACTTCTTCGAAAAGAATGCCCCCTGCCTGGCCCTATAACATTTATCTACCCGTACTTTCTTAACATCACAGTCCATCCATCCCTTATTACAATGAAGAACCACACTGGTGGGCAGTTTTTTGCAGGGCATGGTAACTCTCTTGAAAATCACCATCGGCTTTAATTTTACCCTACTCGCAATGCAACCAAGGACTACAGTGAAGCAAGCCCTCTAGTGCCCAGTGGTTGTAATGGCTATAGTTTTCACACCTGAAGCAGCTACAGTTATGGTGGTCAGAATCTCAAAAGACATAGGAAGCTTGTCCATATTAACTCCATTGCAAAGATACTGAGTTCAGAGATTTCTTTGGTGACAAAAAGTTGACCATCTTTTGCTCCTAATCATCCAGAATTCACTGGCCTACAGTGGTTCTCACTCTCATGGAAAGACCATTCCTTTTCATGAATTTAGAAATCCAGGTGAAACTCACCTTGCAATCTGGGATTCCTTTTTCATTTGCCTGAAGCTTCGCTTTGATTTGAATTGCGACAATAGAGATAGCTTGATTTTGCTCCCTTTGAGAGATAATCCACTCTTTCAAGTCATTCTCCAACTCAGTTATTTTGCTTTGGGCCAACGATGTGCATGTTTTAGTGGATTCATTTTGTTCAGCTCCTTTTTCTCCTTTCTCCATTAGCGAATGGACAACTCTCCAAACTCGAACTCCCTAGCTGCCACTCTGTTGCTTGTTTTTTCCACCCTTGCAATGACTTTCAGTTTGAAGTCAGCGATGTAGGACTTGCATTTAATTCCTGCCATGATCCTAAAAAGTTCTAAGATTTAGATATATAAACCGAAAAATGTGCACAATATAATCAATAATTGGCTGGTTCTAGTAAAGAGATCGCAAAATTCAAACATGAGGTGTACAAGAAGCAAGGGTCTTTTTAGATGCTTGCAAGCATATGACTGATCAAAGTTTTGAACACTGATCAAAGACATTGGTGTTAATAAGACATAATAAGACTGAAATAAGCAAACCCTATGGGGCAGTTCTACTCAGTCCTATAGGGTCCCTGTGAGTCTGACTGGAGGGCACTTAACAACAACAACATAGCTTAATGGTTTCACTTAAGATTATCTGATAAGCTTTTCGCATTCAACTATTGAGCCAAAAACAATCATGTATCAGTTTTGCTTTGTTTACTCCTCCAATTAAAAGCCAGAATAGGAACAGACTGTGATAATTATGTCAATGCAGACTGAATCGAGATTCCTATTGATAGCTACTCCATGCCGTTTATGCCAGAGTAGGCTTTGCTTTGTTTACACTTCCAACTGATAGCATGTGATTTATAAACAGGTAAATGACATATAGACATTTCAAACAGAAACTACAAATGGCTGATAAACAATAAAATGATCAACTGTACTCATAATAACACAATGCAAATTAAAACAAGATACTAGTTTCCATTTTTTACATGTTGCTGTAAAAAAAATTGGCATAGCACACTTAGGAAAATATCTTGTGGGGAAAGCGCACAGTTGGCAAGCAAACATAGAAGGCACATGCTATTTGTGTAAAAATACCGTATAAGACTAACAACAATTTAAGGTTGATATGCCCATTGTTAACAGCCCTGGTGGCACACTGTTAAGCACTCAGCTTCTAACCCAAAGGTCAGTGGTTCACACCCGCCAGCTGCTCCTTGGGAGAAAAGACCTGGAGATCTGCTCCCATAAAGATTATAGCCCAGGAAATCCTTACGAGTCAGAAACGACTCAACGTCATACAACAACATGCCCAATGCTGGAGAAGATGTGGAAAAATGGTTTTGTGGTATTAAATTGGTATAACCTTTCTGGTGGCCATTTTTACTCATTCAGGTAACAAAACATGTATTAAGCAACTATCATATGTCAAGTACTATTCTAGGTGCTAAGAAATCAGTAAAGAATGTAAGCTCCCTCCCTACAGCTTATTTTCTATTGCAGGTAGACAGACAAACAGGCACATAATCAAGGCTTAAATGATGAGAAGGAGCTAGCTATTAGAAGAACTAAAGGAGAAAGTTTCAGGCACTGTAAACTGCAAGCATAAAAACCTAAAGTGGAAACATCTTCTGGCATGTTTGAAGAACAAAAACCATAGCACTGTGCAGCTGGAGTGTACTGAACATGAAAGACAGTGGTAACAGACGATTTGGAAGAGGGAGACAGAAGCCAGATCACAAAGGGCTTTGAGGGCCAAAGTAAGGAATTTTATTTTATTCTAACTGCAATAGAAAACCATTGGGGGATTTTAAGCAGAAACGCTACAATCTGACTTCAGCTTTATAAAGATGGTTGTGCTTCCAATTGTAGGAAACATGAGGGGACAGTACTGGAAGCAGCATGTATGGATAAAAGAAGATGATGGATTGAAATAGGTTTCTAGAAGAAGAGATGATAAAGAATGGCTGGGTTCAGGATTCATCCAGAAAGTACAGCCTGGGTTTTTGGCCTGAGTGACTATATGAGATGTGATGTCATTAATGGAAATAATAATGACAATGAAGATAATATTTACTGAGCACTACCTATATACCAGGAGCCCTGGTGGCACAGTGGTTAAGTGTTCAGCTGCTAACTAACAAGTAGTTCAAATCCACCAGCTGCTCCTGGAAAACTATGGGGCAGTTCTACTCTGTCCTACTGGGTCTTTTATCCCCCAGAGTGGTTGGTGGGTTTGAACTGTCGACTTGTTGGTTAGCAGCCGAGCACTTAACTATTGTGCTACCAGGGCTCCGTGTAATAAGTATCTATATCTATATATTCCTATTTTGTAAATGACAAAACTAAAATCAGAGAGGTAAGGTAGCTTACTCAAGATCACATAACTTATTATATTATCCAGAAACTGGAATAGAACCCTAGGAGTATGATACCAGAGCCCACTCCCCTAACCACTACAGCAAAATGAGACTTGGAATATTAGAAGGGGAACAAGTTTCTGTATCTTTCAACATTTAAAATGTATGTGCCCTTTGACTTCCCAATTTTATTTCTAGGAATCTATGCTATAGAGATACTTGCATATATGTAGGCAGATGTAAGTATGACATTCACTGCTGTACTGTCTGCAATGGCAGAAACTTCAAACAGTCGTAATAATCAACAGAAAACCAATTAGAAAAATTGTTGTACATCATTATAATGGAATACTATGCAGAATAGCAGCCCTGGTGGCACAGTGGTTAAGAGCTTGGCTGCTAACCAAAAGGTTGGCAGTTTGAATCCACCAGTTGCTCCTTGGAAACCCTATGGGGCAGTTATAATCTCTCCTATAGGATCGCTATGAGTCAGAATCGATTCGATGGCAATACATTTTATGCAGAATAAAGTAATTCTACATGTACTTATATAGAAAAATGTCTAAGTTTTTTTTTTTTTACAAAAACAAAAGTAATAGAACAGTATGAATGTTATGATTCCATTTGTACTTTTTTTTTTTTTTTAAAAAAAAAGGTGTTATGTGTGTGGCAGGGTAGTGATGATCATAAGTATATTTGTTATGTGTATAGAGAATAGACCAGAAACTACTGACAGTATTTACCTCTGGAGAGGGAAGAGACTGTTCCTTTTACTTTATATTCAGTACCATTAAAAATTTTTTACCTTAAAAAAAAGTTCACATGTAAGAAAAATACTATGTCTTTTTATCATAGAAGCACTTGGAACAACATAATTATTTTCAAAGTATAGTGATTCAGTAATTTAGCTAGTCAATGGTCAGTCTACATTAGATTTTAAGTATACAAATCCCAAGTAACTAAGATTCTAAATAGCTTAAAGGATAATTTTAGCCTCTATTAGTCTTTTTTTGAATAAGTTGGGGAATAAATAAATGAAAGAATTATTTTCAATGTGAAAAAATTTAGCTACATTAAAATGTTTCCTAAATGTTTATAATGATTTAAGATCCAACTTATATTTTACAATTTCAAAGTATTTAGCTAGATTTAAAACACAGCTAAGCTAAATCTGTCTCAGGTATTCATATCTAAAGTGTTTTTAAGCAGAATTTTTGAAATGTTATTGCCTTTTTTTATTTGCAAAGTGCAAAGAATATAATCCTAATTTTATAAAACAAAGATCGTTTTTAAAACCACAAATATGTATATATGCACATCACATGTATATTTGCATAGTTATAGGATCATGGGAAAAAAAATATGAAAGAATACATTCCAGATTGTTTACATTGGTACTGGGGGAAAGGGAAAAGCAGTTGATCTGAGTAGGCAGGTGGAGTGAGGAAAGAAAGAAAAAGATACAATACTTATAGACTGAAATTCTGTGCAAAGACAAGCAAAAAAAAACCCCTAGGAACACTGCAATAAAGGCACTGAAGAATGAAAACTTCCCAGACGAAAATGAGTGGAACAAATAGAGTATAGATACACAGAAGAGATTCTAGAACTACTCCCTTAAGTTACACTGGCTAAGACTTAGTATATATATAATACATCATTGACAAACCAGAGTTGTATCAAAATACACTGCATAATCTTTATATTTAGTTGTATATAAAGGTTTAATAAATTATACAGACTTTTCATTGGGGGGAAAAATAAAAGAAAACTGCAGTTATGATGTTATAGGTTATGATTAGCATAAGATAAAGAAGTCTTTTTTAGTCCTGGCTCTATTACTAACTAGCAGTGTGGCATTGGGTAAATTATTTTGTCTAATCCTCATTTTACTCATCTGTAAAACAAGAGAAACTAGAATTACATTACCAGGTCCCTTCCAGTTCTGACCTTCTACGATCCCACTCTATAAAATGTAATTACTGAAGAGAGTTGCCGGTTATTTTTTTAAGAAGTCATGTTATACCAAGAATTTAGCAACATAATTAAGAAAGCTCCAAGCAAACCTGCGCCTGAAGTAGTCTCAGCTGTCTGTCTTGTTCCGTGAGGAATCTATAAGCATCCGGAGATAGTCCCATCATTCCATTATCTGATCCAGTCTTGGGAGTGTGCATGCACACTGCACAAGGTTGTGGGTTACATGAGTCCACGTGTGCAGACGCTCTTGTCACAGGCGATGGCTCTACACTGCTGTGGGGAGAACAACCACCCATGCTTCCCTGGGGTCTCACAGCCATAGGGCTACTTGAAGAATAAAATGCATTATGGTACATAGCTGGACATCCATTTGGATGAAATAACGAATGCTTCTGAAGGGCTTCACATTGGAGGTCCTGAATGGATTCTACTGTATTCACTCCTTGCCAAGAATGTATTGGACTATACTGAATATGACCATGATGCTGACAACAACTGCAAATATTTGTGGAATAGTAAGACGGTGGTGGGGGAGTAGGTATTTGAAGTTCCATTGGTCTTCCTGAATTATGGGATGAAAAAACAAAATTGTGTGGGTGAGACTGTGGGGCAAAAGAAGACTGCCTGGAATTAAATGTGGAGGATCTTATAGGATACTCTTCTCTTTGTCCATTTTCAGCAGAAACTGCTTGAAGCTTTTCGGATGAATCAGGAGACAGCCCATTAAGAGGAGATGATTTAATACTGTTCCTGATGTGGGTGTTCCCTTTCTTACAGGTAGCTGGCTGTCTAACTTTGCAGTGCCTCAAAGGAGCAGCGCCTTGGTTTAACTGATTCGGTAGCCCTCTCATGGAAGGCTCTTCAGCTTCAACATCTGGGCTGTGTTTCTCATCATAAAGCTGGGGTTGCACTGGCTCCAAGTGTTCAGAATGGTTAATCAACAAAGAAGGATTTTCATTATTCAACATTTCCAGTGTATTAGGGAGAGGGTTTGATTCTATGAAATTGCCATCCAATACAAGCGAAAGTTCAGGAACTGATGGCTGGATCTTAGATACCTAAAAATGGGAATGAAATTGAAGAGAAAACAATAATTTTTAGGAGAGATGTATGTCTCACTTTTGTCAGACCAACATTTCCCAAATTATATAAAACCACTTACTAAAAAGGTGTTCAATCTTATCTATCTAGATAGTCAACAAAATATTTTCTGGGCATTTCTATGTTCTAGCCACTAGGATTAAAATTCTAAGCAAGTGAGCAAAATAAACAAGGTCCTGGGCCTCAGAGAACATAACTAAGCATTCCCCAAACTTATTTAATGATGGAACTCCTTTTAATGGAACGCTATTTAACACTACTCAGATCACAAAACAAAATATAGCAAACTCTGCTTTATACAATAGAATTTTTTACCCTCTCTCTGCAAAAACACAATCACAGACAGAGTGCTTCAACCAATCTAGTAGCAGAAACTGCTTCTGCACTTTAAATACAAAGGATCTTCAAAAGAAATTTCTCCACTAAATGAAGTTACTCACTGTCATTCCTTCTATTGGCATCAACTAAAGAGTTGCAATTTGATATTATTTTCTTTATATCTTTCCCATTCCTTTCCTTCTAAAATAATCAATTACAAGTAATCTAACTAAAATAAACCATTCTAAAATAACCCATTGGTTGGTAGCAATCGGAAAATTATGACAAGGGTTATTATCAATTAACCTCTCAAAGCAAGCAGAGTGTTTTCTCTGAATACGGTAGTAAAAACTAATTTCAAGTTCTGACGAGTCTAGAACGTTCAATCAGTGTAGTACAGAGCTTAAAAGCACCAGATTCTGAAAACAAACCTCGTGAATTAGAATCCTAGCTCTACTACTTACAAGCTGTGTGATCCTGGACAGGTAACTTAACCGATCCTGGACAGGTAACTTAACCAATCTGTGCCTCAGTATTCTCCGGAAATACTAATTATATGTACTTCTTAGACTTTTAAAGAATATATATGTAACTATATATACATGTATGTGTGTACACACACATATATGTACATATATTCATATTCATATATATGTTTTTGTTGTTGTTAGGTGCCATTGAGTCAGTTCCAACTTGTAGTGACCCTATGTACAACAGAAAGAAACACTGCCTAGTTCTGCGCCATTCTCTTGAGCGCACTGTTGCAGTCACCGTGTCAATCCATCTTGTTGAGGGTCTTCCTCATTTTCACTGACCCTCTGATTTACTAAAGCATGATATCCTTCTCTAGGGACTGATCCCTCTTGACAACATGTCCGAAATATGTGAGACAAAGTCTTGCCATTCTTGCTTCTACGGAGCATTCTGGCTGTACCTTTTCCAACCCATAGTATATTCATCACCAACATCATTATTCAAATGCATCAATTCTTCTTTGGTCTTCCTTATTCATTGTGTAGCTTTTGCATTTGAATAATGATGAAATATCTTGATTGGTATTCAGTCAATTCCTGGAGCCCTGTTTTTCCACAATGCCTTCAGTGCAGCTTGGACTTCATCCTTCAGGACCATCGGTTCTTGATCACATGCTACCTCCTGAAATGGTTGAACAACGACCAATTTTTTTTGGTACAGTGACTCTGTATTCCTTCCATCTTCTTTTGATGCTTCCTGCGTCGTTCAGTATTTTCCACGCAGAATCCTTCAATAGTGCAACTTCAGGCTTGCATTTCTTCTTCAGTTCTTTCAGCTTGAGAAATGTTGAGTGTATTCTTCCCTTGTGGTTTTCTAACTCCAGGCCTTTGCACATTTCATTATAATATTTTACTTTGTCTTCTCGAGCTTCCCTTTGAAATCTTCTGTACCACTCTTTTACTTCATCATTTCTTCCTTTTGCTTTAGCTACTCTACGTTCAAAAGCAAGTTTTAGAGTCTCTTCTGACATCCATTTTGGTCTTTTCTTTCTTTCCTGTCTTTTTAATGATCTCTTGCTTTCTTCTTGTACAATGTACTTCCACAACTCATCTGGTCTTCGGTCATTAGTGTTCAATGTGTCAAATCTATTCTTGAGGTGGCCTCTATATTCAGGTGGGATATAGTCAAGGTCATACTTTGGCTCTGGTGGACTTGTTCTAATTTTCTTCAGCTTCAACTTGAACTTGCATATGAGCAACTGATTGTCTGTTCCACAGCTGGCCCCTGGCTTTATTCTGATTGATGATATTCATATATATAGATATATCCATATATATAGAAATACAGATATATAGCTAGATATACCTTAGAACAAGGAGCCCAGGTGGCATACAGGTTAAGCACTTGGCTGCTAACCGAAAGGGCGGTGGTTTGAACCCACATGCTGCTCCAGGGAGAAAGATGTGGTAGTTTGTTTCCGTAAAGATTACAGCCTTGGAAACCCTATGGGGCAGTTCTGCTCTGCCCCATAGGGTCGTTAGGAGTTGGACTTGACTTGACAGCACACACAATATCTTAGAACAATAGTTAAATAAGTTTTAGGTAGCATTATTTAATGCTTTAACATGAATAAACTTTTAGGCTCCTAACCTCAAAGGTAAGTTCATTATAAGATCAGTGATACCTTCTGACTCACTGGATGAGGACTAGGAATTGGTCTTGGAGAAAAATCTTCATCTTCAACACCAGAATCATGGTCATTTACTGGCATTTTCCCTGGAGGTAACTTCTGAGAAGACCTAAAGAGGGGGAGACAAGAAAAACCTTCAGCAACCCAGTATTTTTGTTTGTTTTTTTTTTAATTGAATAAAGTCATTTAATAAGCCACAGCAGTGTTTGGATCATTTAATTAGTATCTGACACCACAAATTACTTAATTGTTCAGGCCAATGTTAGCTGACCAAGAGAGCTGGCCAGTCAGACTTACACTTAATAAATCTTTCTACTTGATCATGGTGAGTTTAACCTAGTATTCTTAATGTCACAATAAATTAATAGTTGCTAAGCATCTTCTGGAAACCCTGGTGGTGTAATGGTTAAGTGTTATGGCTGCTAACCAAAAGGTCGGCAAGTCAAATCCACCAAGTGCCCCTTGGAAACTCTATGGGGCAGTTCTACTCTGTCCTATAGGGTAGCTATGAGTCGGAAACAACTCGATGGCAACGGGTTTGGTTTGTTTTTTTTTGAGCATTTTCTGGCTGGGGAATTAGAAATATATAAGACAATATTTGATGTCAAAGAATTTACATTCTGATGTTAAAGACATAAATATTGTATTAAAAAGGAAAATGAAATAAGGAATTATATACTTGTATCTGTACTGGGAACATATTTTGAGACATTAATTAAGGTACCTCTTCCCATTTAGTCAGTTGTAGTCATTGTAGCATGGGTGGCATGTCCCAGCAGAACACAGAAAAATTTTGAGTGTCAGTAGTGAGTTTTGAAAGTTGAAGTTAGAGTTTAAGACTAAAGATTTTGAAGATTATGTCAGTTGTTTTCATACCCTAATTAAATAAAGTCTCAATAGGACAGGTTAGGAAAGGGGAAAGATAAGCCAGAAGGAAGCTAAGAGAGCTTAGACATTAGTAGAATCCCTGAAATGGTCCTGCATCCTGTTTCCTGCAGGTTGAATTCTCTCTAGCAGGGAGAGCAACAAAAACTCCCACATAGCTCTGTTCCAAACGCTGGCATTCTAGAAAAGCAGAAAGACTCACAGAATTCTTTCTGTACCAACGTACTGCAGTGAAGAAATCAGAATGTCTGTTTGGTGTGTTTAAGTAGATGGGTCGGTATTAGTCCCATAAAGCTTCCCTCCCTTCCTATACCCAAGAATGACGTGGGAATACAGAATGATACCCAATGTGCCTCATTGCACATGGACATGACATGGAGAACCAGTTACCTAAATAGGGTAAAGTGGTCACAGTAGGAACATGCACAGAACTATTGTCAAAGAACAGATGCAAATGAAAACACCTCATCAGATGGCAACATGATGGATGATAATCACATCACACCACATCACCAGTACTGGCATCCCAATTGTCTCCAAGCTACACATAACCCCGAAGGAAAGGGAATCTTGAAATGACTGAAATTTGGTTTCTACAATCTAGTACAATGCATAGGGGCTCAAAATAGAAATTCAGCTCATTTACTTTAAAAAAAAGTTACATTTCTTATAGCATGGGATTAATAAATGCTACATACAGGCATACCTTGTTTTATTGTGCTTCGCTTTATTGTGCTTTTTACAAACTGAAGGTTTGTGGCAACCTTGCATAGAGCAAGTCTACCAGCACCATTTTTCCAATAGCATGTGCTCACTTTGTGTTTCTGTGTCACATTTTGGAAATTCTCATTTCAAACTTTTTCATTATTATTATATCTGTTATGGTGATCTGTAATCAGTGATCTTTGATGTTACTATTGTAATTGTTTTCGGGCACCATGAACTCCAACCATGTAAGACGGCGAACTTAATCAGTAAATATTGGGTGTGTTCTGACTGCTCTATAGACTGGCTGTTCCCCTATCTCTCTCCCTCTCCTTGGACCTATTCTGTGAGACGCGACAATATTAAACTTAGGCCAATTATTAACCCTACAATGGCCTGTAAGTGTTCAAGTGAAAGGAAGAGTCACACATCTCTCACTTTAAATGAAAAGCTGGAAACGATTAAGCTTAGTGAGGTAGGCACGTAGAAAGCCACGACAGGTGAAAGCTAGGCCACTTGGACCAAACAGTTGGCCAAGCTGTGAATGCAAATGAAAAGTTCTTGAAGGAAATTAAAAGTGCTACTCCAGTGAACACATGAATGATAAGAAAACAAAACAGCCTTATTACTGATATGGAGAAAGTTTTAGTGATCTGGATAGAAGATCAAAACCAGCCATGACATTTCCTGAAGTCAAAGCCTAATTAATCCAGTGCAAGGCCCTAACTCTCTTCAATTCTATGATGGCTGAGAGAGGTGAGGAAGCTATAGAAGAAAAGTTGGAAGCTAACAGAGGTTAGTTCATGGGGCCCGTAGTGTTGTCCCTATTTTTTCTTCCATGGTCTTTATTGTTTCAGGTTTTATATTTAGGTCTTCGATCCATTTTGACTTAATTTTTGTGTATGGTGTGAGGTATGGATCCAGTTTCATTTTGTAATAATTGGCCATCCAGTTTTGCCATTAGTTAAAAAGACCGTTTTTTCTCCATTTAATGGAGTTTGATCCTTAGTCAAAGATGAGCTGACCGTAACCAAAACCAAACCCATTGCTGTTGAGTTGATTCTGACTTACAACCCTACAGGAAAAAGAGAAGAAAAGTCCCATAGGGTTTCCAAGGAGTGGCTGCAGAATTGGAACTGCCAACCTTTTGGTTAGCAGCCGAGCTCTTAACCACTGTGCCACCAAGGCTCCCACCTGACCATAAAAAAAAAAAAGAAAAAAAAGAACAAACCCGTTGCTGTCAATTCCGACTCACAGCGACTCTACACAACAGAGTAGAACTGTCCATAGGGTTTCCAATGAGCACCTGGTGGATTTGAACTGCTTACCTTTTGGTTAGCAGCCGAACTCTTAACCACTATGCCACCAGGGTTTCCAAGCTGACCATAGGTGGATGGATTTATGCTGGGTTCTTGATTCTGTTCCATTGGTGTACGTGTCTGTCATTGTGCTGGTACCAGGCTGTTTTGACTCATGGCTGTATTCTAAGTTCTGAGATCAGGTAGTGTGAAGCCTCCTACTTTGCTCTTTTTCTTCAATAATGCTTAGCTTATCTGGGGCCTCTTTGCTTTCCATATAAAGTTGGTGATTAGTTTTTCCATCTCATTAAAGAACGTTGTTGGTACTTGTTATTTTTTTTAATGGCACCTTACATAAAGGTTTACAGAGCAAAATATTTCTCATTAAACAATTAATACACAAATTATTTTGTGACTTTGGTTGCAACCTCACAGCATGTCAACACTCTCCTCTTCTTGACCTTGGGTTCCCTATTACCAGCTTTCCTGCCCCCTCCTGCCTTCTCGTCCTTGCCCCTGGACTGGTGTGCCCATTTAGTCTTGTTTTGTTTTATGGGCCCGTCTAATCTTTGGCCGAAGGGTGAACCTCAGGAGTGAATTCAGTACTGAGTTAAAAGGGTCTCCAAGAGCCATACTCTCGGGGTTTCTCCAGTCTCTGTCAGACCAGGAAGTCTGGTCTTCTTTTGTGAGTTAGAATTTTGTTCTACATTTTTCTCCAGCTCTGTCCGGGACCCTCTGTTGTGATCCCTGTCAGAGCAGTCGGTGGTGGTAGCCGGTGGTAGTCTAGTAGTGCTGGACTCAGTTTGGTAGAGGCTGTGGTAGCTGTAGTCCATTAGTCCTTTGGACTAATCTTTCCCTTATGTCTTTGGTTTTCTTCATTCTCCCTTGCTCCAGATGGGGTGGGGCCAGTGGAGTATCTTAGATGGCCACTCACAAGCTTTTAAGACCCCAGACACTACTCACCAAAGTAGGATGCAGAACACTTTCTTTATAAATTATGTTATACCAATTTAACTAGATGTCCCCAGAGACCAAAGTCCCCAGGCCTCAGCCCAGTAATTTGGTCCCTCAGGGTACTGTTGGTATTTGGACTGGGATTTATTTTATCTGTAGTTAGCTGTGGGTAGAATTGACATTTTCACAATGTTGAGTCTTCCTATCCATGAACATGGTATGTTTTTCCACTGATGTCTGTTTTGGCTTCTTGCAGTAGCATTTTGTAGTTTTCTTTGTATTGGTCTTTTACATCCCTGGTTAGATCTATTCCCAAGTATTTTATCTTTTTAGGGGTTATTATAAAAGGTAAAGGAGCCCTGGTACTGCAGTGGTTAAACACTTGGATGCTAACCGAAAGGTTGGCAGCTCGGACTCACCAGCCACTCTGCAAGAGAAAGATGTGGCAGTCTGCTTCTGTAAAGATTTATAGTCTTGGAAACCCTAAACGGCAGTTCTACTCTGTCCTATAGGGTTGCTATGAGTCAGAATCAACTTGACGGCAACGGGTTTGGGATTTTTTTTGGTTATAATTGGTACTGTTTTCTTGATTTCCTTTTTGAAGTTCTCTTTGCTGGTGTATAGGAATCCTACTGATTTTTTGTATGTCAATCTTGTATCCTGTTACTCTGCTGAAATCTTTCTACTAGTTCCAGTAGTTTTCCTGTGGAATCTTTGGGGTTCTCTATGTATAGGATCACATCATCTGCAAATAGGGATAGTTTTTCTTTTTCCTTTCCAATTTCAATGCCCTTTATTTTTTTCTTGCCTTATTGCTCTAGCTAGGACTTCCAGCACAACGTAAAACAGAAGTAGTGATAAAGGGCATTCATTCTCAGGCGCGATGCTTTCAGCCTCTCTCCATAGAGAATGATGTTGGTTGTTGGGTTTGTATGGGTGCCCTTTATTATGCTGAAGAACTTCTCCTCTACTCCTATTTTATTGAGAGTGTTTATCAGGAATGGGTGTAGGACTTTGTCAAATGCCTTTTTTGCGTGGATTGGGATGATCATGTGATACTTTTCTTTTGATCTATTTATGTGGTGGATTACATTGATTGATTTTCTAATGCTGAACCATTCTTGCATACCTGGTATGAATCCCACTTGGTCGTGGTGTATTATTTTTTTGATATGATGCTGAATTCTATTGGCTAGAATTTTGTTGAGAATTTTTATATGTACATTCATGAGAGATATTGATGAAGGTTTGTTTTTTCGAGTAGCTTACCTGATATGTTCTGGTACAGAACTACAAGAAAGGGAATTAACAAACAGAAGGCAAACTAAATAAAAATAGGATGTTCCTCTCTAAACAAGTTAATTTCTTCACATACTTTTTATTGCTTTCTCTATATAATAAATCAACTCAAATGAGAACCATATTAGAGTTGTCACTTCATTAAAATTATCATCCAAATTCCTAGTGAATATGAAGGAATACATTTAACACAGATACCCATGGTATATAAGATTTACAAGTAGTTTTATCAGAAATAATTGGGAGTTATTTTAATTACTCACCAAAAAATAATGAATGTATGAAAAAGTACACATGAAAATAGAAAAAGACCTTTTACCTCTTAACTGAAAGATTCTTGGAAACCTTGTCGAAAAACTCTGCTTCTGCATTTTGGCTTTCAGTACTCATTTCAAAATAGATTGGATTTTTGTCCGAAGATTCAACATTCTGAAATGAAGTAGTTCATACTTTGAAATCTGACTTAAATAAAAACACCAGAGAATTCTATTTAGATGAAAAGTTGTTTTAAAACATGGGGGAAGAGGAGAGGACAGAGGATTTCTGGTTTCTATAACTAATTTTTTTTTTCAATCTGTCCAACTCTGCTACATAAATGAAAGTGAAAACTTAATCACCTGAATTAAGCAATAAACACAATAATCAATGATTAAGTTACAATAGCTATGAACGGTGCACACCATTTAAAGAATAAGTAAATGATATATGTCCTTTAAATAGAAATAAATTATTAGATCATATTTAAGTTGATTATATTTACAACTAAAATACAAAAAACTTGATTCATGAACTGATTAAATGAACTCAGGCACAAAACAGATCTGGTGGAAACACATGGTTACTTAGAAGCATTAAATATTTTTGTAATAAAAACCAGAATGTAGTTTTATTATTGGCCTGAGTCATAGACAACCAATAATTTCATTGAAAAGTGGCCTCTGAATGTTTTTACATAATGGCACCTAGGGTTTCAAAGATGTGCTTTTTCTATGCGATCCCATACCCATTGCTGTCGAGTTGATTCCAACTCATAGCAACCCTACAGGACAGAGAAGAACTGCCTCATATGGTTTTCAAGGAGTGGCTAGTGGCTTCAAACTGTTAACCTTTTGGTTAGCACCCACGCTCTTAACCACTGTGCCACCAGGGCTCCAGATATGATATATCAACACTCTATTCTGATTCCTAGGATTGTTTTATGTAAATATTGACTTTTAAGTGTGAAAAACCATTTGCTACCTATATTTTAAAAATAATAGGGCAAAGAAAACACTAAGACATCATAAAATTAACTGTCAACATCATAAAATGATACAACATATAAATTATTGATTCATTCTTCAAAGGTTGTAGAAAAACATAGGCAAGTCATTCTATGGATAACTTCTGATCCTCTATTGTAATTTTGTTCTGGAGATATGGTCTAAGATTTACTAAACAAAATTAACAATAAATAAATGAAGTTAATATTCATTAAGACTGATTATAAGTAAAGTCTAAGTGTACGATTAGTATGTTAAAGGGTAAAGACCATTGCGTTTAATCTGCCAAAGTACAACCTGAAACACTCATTAATGTACTAGATAATCAAATGACTTACTTTGAAAAGATGTAATGTTTCCTTACTGGTTAGTAATTGAAATTGAAGGTCAGTAATTCCACCACCACAAGGGAGGCATTCATAAAACTCAGGCTCCTTATGTGTCACAGAATAGAGAACTATGATGAAACTTCCAGATTCTGAAAACACCCTGAACAAAAATTTCCATTTAATCAAAATTTACTCTGGATAACAAGAGTATACTCAAATTCATGTGAGTCTCCCAATCTAGTTAATAGGTTGACTAAACAGTCCAATTTTTTAAAGGAAATTGAGAAGCAAATTTATACTTACTTTTTAATGTCATTCATTTTAATTTTTAAAATACACTTTTATTATAGAATACATAACCAAAACGAAGCCCATTGCCATCGAGTTGATTCCAACTCACAGCGACCCTACAGAACAGAGTAGAACTGCCCCATAGGGTTTCCAAGGAGGGGCTGGTGGATTTGAACTGCTGATCTTCTGGTTGGCAGCCGAGCTCTTAACCAGTACGCCACTACTGCCCCACAGAATGCATACTCCTTGTAAAATCTTCAAACAAAACAGCAATATATAAAATAGAAAATAAAAACCACCCCAGCCCACTCTCTAGCTTAGTATACATACTTCCAGAGATTTTCCCTACATATACAAAACATTTTATATAATTTAACAAAAATGGGGTCATATTATATACACTATTTACACTTTCAATTTTTCATTTGACAATATATCTTAGCTCTCTTCCCACATCACTATTCTATACTATATCTCCTTATTCTTTTAAGCAACTATCCAGTATTATATTTTATAGATGTGTCATAAATGATTTACCTAAACTTCTAAAAATGATTAAATTATATACAATATTTTACTATTATAAACGCTGATAAAATGAACATTCACTTTATTATTCATTAAATGACTCAATAGATACTTACAATGTCATCAAAGTCCTTAAAATATACACTAAAATCAATTATTTTAACATATTTTTAGTAGTTGTCTCTCTATTGTAAAAGGTTGAATGAAAAATAACCCAGGGATATGTTATAGCAACAAGAAAACCAAGCAGTGGAGGTTGGGAGGTAGGATGCCAGAATTCCAGGGATGTACAAAGGAGTCCAACAGCTTCTGTTCTAAATTCCTTTCTCTGAGGTCTGACAAGACCACTGCTCAAAATGCTGTAAAATACCAACCTAAACTATGCTAAGCAGTGCTAACTCCTCTCTCATTCAATCCTCCCTTGAAAAGGTTGGCACTACCAGTAATTAAGAGTGCTGGCATCAAATAAATTGCCTAATGCTTCAGACTGAACCCAGAGTAACAGAGAGTGCTTCAAAATTAATCATACTGAATATTCACTGTCCATAAGAAGTTAAAGCAAGATCAGTAACTGAAAATGAAACTTAACCATACTAAAACACTACTAGAAGACCAAAAATGAACATTTAATTTCAGTTTTATTGCAAATAAAACTAATTTTCTTGCAAAGTGGAAATAAAATGTAAAAAGTAGAACTCTAAAAGCACCTGAAGAAAATAAAGGAGATTTTTTTTTCCAATACATGTTCCTGGAATGGGAAAATCCTCTGTAAGCAAGATACAAAATAGGAAAAAAAAAAAAAGAAATTGATAAACTAGACTTTAAAGATAAAAGTCTGTTTGGGAAAAATATCATTGATCAAAGGTAACTGAAATGACAATCTAGGGAAAAAAATCTTTGCAACATATATGAAAACCAAGGTTTATCATCTGAAAAAAAAAATAAATGTATATACATATGTGCATGTATATATATACAGATATATATACACACACATACATACACAGAGAGCACACTTAAAAAGCAGTAAAAAAAAATCTACAACCTAAGAGAAAAATAGGACAACAAACAAATAGGCAATTCCCAAAAGATGAGTTATAATACATGGAAAAAGACCATTTTTCATCTATCAGTGTCTTAGTTACCTACTGCTGCTATAACAGAAGTAACACCAGTGGATGGCTTTAACAAACAGAAGTTCATTCTCTAACACTTTTGGAAGGCTGTTGTTGTGTGCTGTCGAGTCGATTGTGACTCATAGCAACCCTATAGGACAGAGTAAAACTGCCCCATAGGGTTTCCAAGGAGCAGCTGTTGAATTCAAACTGCCAACCTTCTGGTTAGCAGCCTGAGCTCTTAACCACTGTGCCACCAGGGCTCCTATTTAGAAGGCTAGAAGTCCAAATTCACAGTGCCAGCTCCAGAGGAAGCCTTTCTCTCTCTGTCGGCTCTGGGGGAAGATACTTGTCATCAGTCTTCCCCTGTCGTAGGAGCTTCTCAGGGCAGGGACCTCGGGTCCAAAGGATGTGCTCCCCTCTTGGTTCTGCGTTCTTGGTGGTAGGAGGTCCCATGTTTCTCTCCTTGCTTCTCTCTTTTATATTGCAAGAGATTGGCTTAAGATACCACCTAATCTTGTAGATTGAGTCCTGCCTCATTAACATATCCGCCTCTAATCTTGCCTCATGAACAGCACAGAAGTAGGATTTACAACACAGGAAAATCACATCAGATGACAAAATGGTGGGCAACACAAAATACCGGGAATCATGGCCTAGCCAAGTTGACACGTTTTTGGGGGACACAATTCTATCCATAACAATTAGATTTGCAAAGATCAAAAGTTTAATAATGCCCGTCCCATTACCTCTGAGCTCATCTACTACTTCTCCCCTTCCCTCACTCCTCTCCAGCCAGACTGCTGTTTTTGCTGTTCCTTGAAGATGTCAGGTTAGCTTCCACCTAGGGCCTTTGACTTAACATAGCCTCTGACTGGAACACTACCCTAGTCAGCCACGTGGCTTACTCCCTCACCTCAAGTCTTTGCCTCTCTGATCATCCCATTTAAAATCGCAACCGTTTATCTGCAACTAACACCCAGACACATGACTTCAACCTGCCCTGTTTAATTTTTCTCCATAGCACTCATGCCTTTCTAAAATACTATTTATTTTACTTATTTGTTCTATTTACTGTCTCTACAGGGCCTTTATTTTGCTTACTACTTACCCCCAGTATTGTGAACAGTGCTTGGTACATAGTAGGTGTTCAATTAATATTTGTTGAATGAATGAACACAATGTTAGTGAGGGGATGGAGAAAACACGTACTCTCACATACTGTGGGAAGAATTATAAACCTGTACACTGTTTTTGCAAGGAGCCCTGGTGGCACAGTGGTTAAGCACTGGCTTCAGGAGAAAGACACAGCAGTCTGCTTTCGTAAGATTATAGCCTTGAAAACCCTATGGGACAATTCTACTCTGCCCTATAGGGTCCCTAGGAGTTGGAATTGACTCGATGGCAACAGGATAGGATACAGTCTTTTTGGAGGGCAACTTGACAATATCTATCAAAATTTTAAATTATGTAACTTTTGACCCAGAATAAACAGTTTCAGGAATCTATCCTACAAATACAGTAGGAGATGTACACAAAGTTATACGTACACAATGTTCAATCCAGCACTGTAAGAGCAAAAGCGCCTGTTTATACTATACAGTTGTAAAAAATGTGTAATAAATCTGTACAACAATCTCCAAGATATATTGCTATAGAGAAAAAAAGCAACACACAGAAAAGGAAAAACGATTTGCTCCCATTTGTGGCTGTATTTTTTTATGGGCTGGCGGAGTGTGATACCTGTCTATGCACTGAATATTTCAGGAAGGAAACAGAAGATACTATTTAAAAGTGACTGTCTCTGAGAATAGGGTGTGGGGAGTGGGATGAAAGAGAAATTTATTTCTATTGTCTGTCTTTATGTGTATCTGATTTATTACCATGCACTTGTATTGCCTTTCAATAAAAAGTTTTTTTAAAAAGTCTATTATAGCTACCTAAGATGGACAGAAAGATACTTTGAAATTCTCAATTAATAGTTGAAACAATAAGAGGCAAACAGTGGTATCACTTACAAAATAAGTTAAATGTGAAGTTGAGGTTAGAAACAGTTACCTTAACTACTAGTCCCAATGCTTATGCTTTAGTGTCAGGATGAAAACTAAACATCTCTTCTCAAGTATCTGTCAGTGTACTAGTAGCAGCATTGTATAACTTGATAAAACATATGCAGGGTAACAAACTTAAACTCAATTGCAGTTATGTCACTGAAAATTAGTCTCCTTATTTATAAAATAGGATGCTAAATATTATGGATTAAATTGTGTCCACCTCAAAATATGCATTAGAATCCAAACCCTTATACCTGTGATGTAATCCTGTTTGGAAATAGGGTTTCCTTTGTTATGTTAATTAGACCACTCCAGAACAGGGTGGGTTCTAAATCTAATTACTTCTGAGTTTTAAAACGAGCAGATTAGACATGGAGGCACTAACACATGGGGAAACACAGACGTCATCTGAAGATCACCATGGAACCAAGGAAGGTCCAAGGCTACATACAGACAAGGAAGGAATCAACACAGCCCTGATTTGGACTTTTAGCCTCCAGAACAGTGAGAAAATAAATCTGTTCTTTAAAGCTAGCCACATGTGGTATTTGTGTTACATCAGCACTAGGTAGCTAAGACACTATCTGATCATGGTTATTTTCCACCTCTAAAAAGCATATCTTCTGTGTTATAATTCTGTGGTTAGACAAGTGTATTTCTTCATATTTCCAGGTATGGTGCAACCTCATCTTTATTGTCTGGTTTTATTCCTATTGAATAAAAGATTCATTTTTCTTAATGAGCTTGTTCTTCTGGCTTATAAGTATTACAGAAAGTTAAGGCATTGCATGAATTTTAAATGAGACCAGTAAAATATGAATGGGTGAAAAGAGCAAAATAAAATATACAGAATAAAATATCACTTGCCTTTCTTGAATAGCAGAGCTGAATATATATCGCAAGCAACAAGCCCATACCTGAGGACTATAGATATGAATAATCCCAGACAGCCAACTAAAAGAAGAAAAATAAAAATTAAAAACTATAACCATTCACAAATTAATACTTAATATGCCTTAGATTATGTTCTTCTCAAAGTAATATGACAGATCCTTGGCATTCACCAATACATTAAAAGGCTTCATAAATAAGAAATCTATAAATACTAGATCATGATGAGATTAGAAGAAAGGAGAAAATAAATACATTTATTTTCTTTCTCTCTATTCTCCTCTACTTGAAATGTGTGAGAGAAAAATGGGAAATAGATATAAAAGCAGAATAAATTAGCCTAGACTGAAGAGAATTGGTTGAATTAGGGGAAATTAATTTTTCTGCATAAAACTATTTTACACAGTTGAGAGAATTAAATGCTGTAACTTACATGCTGCTGTTGTTGCTAGCTGTTGCCAAGTTGATTCCGACTCATAGCAACCTCATGTGACAGAGCAGAACTGCCCCATAGGGCTTTCTTGGCTGTAATCTTTAAGGAAACAGATTGCCAAGTCTTTCTCCCACGGAGCTGCCGGGTGGGTTTGAACCACCAACCTTTTGGTCAGCAGCTGATAGCTTAACCAGTTGTACCACTAGGGCTCTTTGTAACTTACAGGTACCCTGAAGCACAGACTCTTGATGAATATTCACATAGGCATCAATAATCCATAGCCAATATGAGGACTACAACAAATAGACTGTAAGTAGACTTCATGGTCTATAGAACATCTGTGTATCCTCATCTTTTAACTTTGCACGTACTATTTGCTCACTTAGGCACCCTTTCTCATCAACCCTCCTTTCTACTGTCCAAATGGTTAAAGATCCAGCTCAAGTTTGCATGACTAAGAAAATATTCCTCTCTCATAAATATTAATAGTGCTCAAGTCTCTACTGCTCCTTCCACAGTTAATAAGATACTTGGCTATGAGTCAGAATCAACTTGATGGCAGTGGGTTTGGTATTTTTTTATGTGAATATCTAAGTATTTATCTGCTCACTTTGATTATAAACTCCTTGAGAAGAAGCTTTAAAACCTAACACAATACCAAACATATTACAGTGCATATGGTAAGCAATAAGTACTGAATGAATATAAATTTCTAAGTAATTTGTCTAAATGTCATTACCCATTAACTGCAAAGAGAAAGCCATTAACACTAAAGGGAATTTCTGCAAAATTTCCTGGCAGTGAATATTATTCTGAACCCTGGAGTTCATCGAGGTGCCTCAAGGACAGGAGGTAGAAAGAAGGTTGAAGGAACAGGGCTCTAAGTCTTCAACTTCAACCAGAAGACTTCAACTTTTATCACGTACATACTGCAGTTCTTATAAAATTGAGCAAAATCTTGTTTTTTAGCTGATTCTACTATTAAAATAAGAACGTTTAAGAACAATTGGCCTTTGTGGTATTACAAAATGATCTAAACATTAATGATATATTCATAGTATAATTCACTTATATGCTTATCATATATATTTTAATACATATTTAACAGAAAAGATTTTCATAAATAATGTAAAACTTACATTCCCACTAATGGTAAAGAATAAACCTTAGGATCAGATTCCAGCAAAAGTAACAATTTGCGTGTTTCATCCATGGTAAGATATCTAAACAGAAGACATTCAGGTAAAAATAATTGTAAGTATTACATTAGGTACTTTTTACCTAAAAGAGATTATCTAAGTGCTGAAGAAGTAAATTTTCAGTATGGGACAGGATTGAAATGAACATTGTCTCACTCAGACACATACCCACACATGTGCATGCACACACGCATGCACACGCCTGTGTGCACAAACAGAGAAAATACTTCAGAGTCTAGAAAGACTCTGGTGAGAGAAGAGATTAAACCAATCTAATATTTAAAACTTCTATTAAAATGGTCAATGAGAATTAAACATCTTTTAAAAAAAAGGTTTTCCTCTAAAAGTATCAACATAACTAACTTTAATGAAAAGTATTAAAATCAAAGCAGACATTTTCTGAACCAAATAGGTTTCCCTGGGAGAAGTGAACTCCCCCTTACTGGAAGTGTTCAAACATCCAGGTGACTTGATAAGGCTGCAACAGATGTGACTTCTCATTGAAGGAAGCTGACTTATGTCAGGTATATTCAACCTTTCATACATAGCCCTCCAACCACTATCAAAGAAATTTGGAGCCATCATGATAGAATCCAAAAGCTCACTTTCCCCAAAAATGCATTACACTACATTTACACTTTGTTACTGTATTTATTATTGACAGTAAGTTTCAAAGATATGAAAAACTGCAGTAGAATTGTTGGGAGTCACTTTTCTGGTTATGGCTTTAAAACACAAAAATAAAAACAACACATTAGTGATATAACACCTTGACAGTACCACTGACAATATATTTTTATTGCTATAATAACCCTAAAACACAGGGATAATGAATTTATCGGGCCATGCAATAAGATTAAGACACAGTTGGCAGGAGATTTATGTATCAACAATGACACACTTGCTTTGAAAGCTCTCCTTGTGCCCTGTCCACCTGATAAATACCTACTCTTTAAAAGAGTCAGCTCAGGCTTTCCATGATTTTCCCAGGCAGCTTGGACATACCTTCATGCATTTCCTGCACTGTAGATAAGTTCCATGATAGCACATCATGTTTATATGTTAGTATACATAACAAACAGTAAGCTTTTTTTTTTTAAATCTATTTATATCCAGTGCCTAACACAACACCAAGCCCACAATGGAGCCTAATAAATATTAGAGTGCATATGTGAATGTGAGCAGGGGCAAGGGCAAATGTCACATACTCAAAAGACAATTCTAGGTAGGAAAGGGCAAGGCAAATAGGAGATTGGATAGAATACTGAATGCTCCGGGTTACTACCAGCATGCCAAGGATGGATAATTAAAAGAAAGGTAGATTCATGCTTCACTTGTAGGTGGACATGGGTACTGATTACGTTCTGGTTAACTTTACCAAAAACTCCCATGTCCCAGTTGAGAAGCACATTATTACTCCAAGAGAAATAAATGTCCCATTTAATTCTAACATATTTTGACCACAAACTATATCCATTATTTTGGAATATACCAACACTTCTTCCTTTGTGCCACTCCAAACAGAAAGGCTCTGGTCAGCATCTGGGACTCAAAACGGGACCTTCCTTGCTATTCCAGGAACCCTCTGAAAAAAATAAAGTCCTTTCTTTTTCTCATCCTCTTTTAAAGAGGCATTTTTAGAGGATAAGACTTGGAGTTGAATGTACTTTAACAAGCATCTTTGGCTCTAGAGACCTAACAGGAACTAGGGTGGAGTCAGTGGGAAAGGAAGCCAGAAGTGAATTGCTTAGGGCTGCCTCTGGTCAGACTTTAGAACAGAAGAGTGTCTATATCATCTAATCTAGTTCAGTAAACAATAGGCAAATACAGTGCAGGATGAGGATTCAGGGAAGCAGCCCTGCTGAGGATTAGAAAGCATGCATTTTAGCTTATGTTTCCTAAGAAACCTAAGAGTATTAACAGGAAGCAGGAAAGGACACTGCTTTAGCTATGTGAGGAAACTCCACCCTCAAGTAGCTGACAATTGGGTAAGCAAGAGTTCTGCAAATTTTTATTTAATTATCCCCTTTCTCCATCTACAGTGCTCATTATTCACAAAACTCCATAATATAAATAAATTCTCCCACCTCTCTTAGGTTATGGTAATGAAAACAGAAAAGGGATCAAATCTAGGCAACATATAAAGGGTAAAACGATAAGGAAGATAATTTCTCCTTACATGTTCAAGTCACAAAATATAAGCAATTTTAATATAATTTTACCACCAATTTTTTGTGGGCTGGTGGGTACAATTCTTGGAAAGAAAATTCTATATTCAGCAAAAATTAACTTCACTTTTTACATTCCTTGGTTATTTATCATGCCACCACAGATCTCTAGCATGTAAAGTGACTGTACAATTATTTCACATTATGTAGATATCCTGAAAATATGCTATTGCGACCAATATTTAAAATTTTGGATTAATATATGTTTTACTTACCCATACTTATAGGTCCCTTGAACTTGAGAAATACTCAGATTACTGCTCAAGTTTCTTGCCAAGGCTGTTGGAATTATGGGGATGGGCTTCACAGGTGTGCATTTAAAAGTATTTGCTAGAGTTACTGCTGCCCAGTGAAAGTCAAAATCCATGTTGTCCAAACTCTCCCTGGAAGTTATATGAGCTCTTAGGGAAAGCAGCTTACCACAGTCCAAGGAATCCTTGCTACATACATGGTGCTGCAGCACCTAAGGAATCAATATTATACAATTATTTTAAAAGTTTGAAATGTGCCCATATCTTCTAAAGTTTTTTGTTTTATACAGTATGTATGTGTGTGTGTCCACCACCCAGCTTGCAGTTTGTCATACTGTAGAGGCTTGTGTGTGCCGTGATGCTGGAAGCTATGTCACTGGTATTTCAAATACCAGCAGGGTCACCCATAGTGAACAGGTTTCAGCAACACTTCCACATTAAGACAGACTAGGAGGAAACCTGGAGATCTACTTCTGAAAATTAGCCATTGAAAACCCTATGGATCACAACAGAATATTGTCCGATATATGCTGGAAGATAAGCCCCATTGATTGGAAGGCATTCAAAATATAATAGTAACCGCCAACAATGGACTTAAGCATACCAGTGATCGTGAAGATGGCACAGGACGGACCAGGCAGCTTTTTGTTCTTTTGTACATGAGTTTGTCATGAGTCAGTGACAACTTGATGGCAACTAACAACAACAATGTGTACTCTGCACTAACAAAAATTAAATGAAATTTGATCTGTAACATTTCAATTGTCTTTTTACTTCCCTGTAACCAAAAAGCTTACGTGTATAATTACTTCAAAGCAAATAAAATTTACTGCCTCAAGCATTATCACACATTTTTAACCTGGATGTCCAGCAGCACTCCAAATTCTTATTGGGGAATGTTACCCACAATAAATATTTACTATATGGGGGGAAAATGCACATAAAGCAACAGATTCACTCTCAGAGATCTAAAATCCATTCCTCTTTGATTCCTTGTTACCTCTACTGTTTAGTTTTTCCTCTATAGTTGCTTGTTCCCATTGTGTCCTTTCCAGTCAAACTACAGGCTAATATACCCCTCTCTAACACATACCTGGCTACTGCAATGGCCTAGCTGACTTCAGTCTGACTGCCCTATCAAATCAACCATCCATGATTTGACAATATGTCAAAATTTGACCTTAATGTCACCCTGAGCACATCTTGCCCCCTTTCTATCTTGCTCATACTGTTTCCTCTTCTGGAATGCTACTCATATCACCTCCGTAGCGTTTTTACCCTTGAAAAACATTTAATTGAATTTTGAGTCAATAATCATTAAATCGTAAATTATTATGAATACTTATCGCTATGGTTTAAAATAAAACACACTATACATAGTTTGACTCTCATGTTTAATTAAGAATAACGACATTTAGCAACTGGATCTCACCTTAAAAGCTGAAATGAAGTCATCTGCATTGTGAACTATCATTTCTCTTGAACAAAGTCCTCGAGTATCAACTTTGCATGGAATCAAAAAGTCCCCAGGAAGAGAAGCAGTTGGGGTTCTTTCTAAACATTCAGGTACTTCTCGACCAGGATCAAAACGATCTACAGTCAATGTCACACCTTCTTCATCTAACGAATAAGGACAGTAGATATTACATTGCACACTAACTAAAAACGTGAAATCAACCAAGCTAAGCTACATTATAGCAAAGTACTTTGGTCATACTAACAGTTTACTAAACTCTTATTTTAAAAAATCACTTGCATATATGTTCTTCCACCTGACTAGATTGTGAAGTCTATGATTAGGTGTGTCAAGTTTTACTCATCTTCGTATCTTTGGTATACAGCACAAAAAAAGAAAAAAAATCAGCAATGTATATTACAATAGTTTGCTGAATAAATTCTATTACAGTCATATAAACCATTTTTTTAAGTATACTACCTTCGTCGACTGTGAGAGAACCAAGTAAAAAGCATGGCAAGTTTTTTTTATCCTGCTTAGCATGACGACAGGCAAGTCGGATGGTCTTTTCAGTCACTACAAGCTTTGGGTTTCTGAAAAATAACAAAAGTCATTTATGAATATGGTGGATCTGATAACCTAAAGGAGCCCTGATGGTGCAGTGGTTAAGCATTCGGCTGCTAATGGAAAGGTTGGCAGTTGAAACGGACCAGCCACTCTGTGGGAGAAAGATGAGGCAGTCTGCTCTGTAAAGATTTACAGCCTTGGAAACGTTATAGGGCAGTTCCACTCTGTCATACAGGGTCACTCTGAGTTGGAATGGACTTGATGGCAAGGGGTTTGGGTTGGGTTTCGATATCCTAAAAAACCCTCTTGCCATGAAACACTGCCTAAAATATTTATTTTATTAAAATATAAGATATATCTTTAAAAATGTACAGAAAGGTCAATTGTCGAGAAATCCCATGGCCAGAGTGGGAGGAGTTTCTAGAAACCAGACCGGTAATAAGCAGACACTTAAACTATAGTGTTTTTCCAAGCATTTGCTTAACTTTATGAACAACAGCAGGGATTCGCAAACTACGAACCACACCTCCTGTTTTTGTAAATAAAGTTTTGTTAGAACACAGCCATACTCATATATTTACATATTGTCTATAGCATTATTGAATACAGAATGCAAAATATGATTAAAATGTTTAAAGAAATATAAGAGGGAATCTAAAATATGAGCAAAGAACAAGATACTATCAATAAAGACCAGGGGAAAAGAGTTTGGCAATTCCTCAGAAAGTTAACTATAAAATTACCATAGGACTCAGCACTCTCACTCCTAAGTATATACCCAACAGATTTGAAAGCAAGGACTCAGATACTTGTACACCAATGTTCCTTGCAGCACTTTTCACAATAGCCAAAAGGTAGAAACAACCAAAATGTACATCAACAGATGAATTGATAAACAAAATTTGATATATACATACAATGGAATATCACTCTGCCATAAAGAGAAATGAAATCCTGATACATGCAACGACATGAATGAATCTTGAAATCATTATGCTGATGTTACTGCTGAATAACATAGGTAGGTGGAGGGTATGCAAGTGTTCGTTACATTATCTTCTACATTTTTCTGTGTCTGAGATATTTCATAATTTAAAAAGCATAATAAAAATAAAACCTACAAAAAAACACATTATGCTGACTAAAATAAGTTAACCACAAACGGACGAATACTGTATGATCCCACTTGTATGAAAAAGGCAAACATATAGAGACTATAGCTTATTAGTGGTTATCAGGGGTAGGAGGGATGGGAAAATGGGGAGGCTTAGCTTAAGTGGCACTGAGTTTCTGTTAATGGTGGTAGAACAATATGGAAACAAACAGTGGTAGTGGTTGCATATCATGAATGTAACCAATGTCACTAAATTGTTCATGTAAAAAATTGGCAAATGTTTTGTTATGTATATTTTCACCCCAATAAAACAACTTAAAAAAAAGGGAGGGGGGAAGTCGAAGGGTCAGAGTCAGAAAAGGAGATGTGATGACAGAAGCAGAGGGTCAGAGAGAGAGAGAGAGGTTTAAAGATGCTACACTGCTGGTTTTAAAGATGGAGGAAGGGGCCACAAGCTAAGGAATGCAGGCAGCCTCTTAAAGCTGGAAAAGACAAGGAAAGGGACTCCCTCTAGAACTTCCAGAAGGAATGCAGCTCTGTCAATACCTTGATATTAGCCCCATAAGACCCATTTCAAACTTCTGACCTTCAGAACTGTAAGACAGTAAGTTTACATTGTTTAAAAAAAAAAAAAGACCAGGCAAATTTGAAAAACAACCACATAGAACTTATAGAAATAAAAAAGATACTCAATTAAAAACTCAATGGATTATGTGATTAACTGGAGTTGTGAACTCCAGGAGGACAGTTCGCTGAACACAACACTGCCCAATTCCTGTCAGATTTCAGGTTGATGTCCAAGACTTGGCTCATCATTTGGCCTCCTAAACAGAGCTGGGCTCACCTTTGGATTCTTGCCCCTCTTCTTAAGAGGGTATGAGAGATTTGGAGACAAGAGAAAAGGGACCTGTTTGTTTTATTATTATACAAATTGTACATACACATACATACACACACACACACACAATGAATTCTTTTACATATAGTATATTTTACATTTAAAAAATTAAACAGCTTAGATAGCAATTAAGCACAGCTAAAGAGAAAATCAGTAGTGAAAGAATAAAAGAAATTACTTAAAATGTAATACAGCAAGACAACAATAGAAAATATGAAAGACAGATTAAATGACACAGAGGAAAGAATCAACAGGTCTAACATACATCTAATTGAACTTCCACAAGAATCTCCCTGTTTTTGTCAATGACACCACTCTTCTCGACCTAATGATTTAAACATGAATACTTTCTAACCTGTATCCTTCGTCAGTTCCTCCATTCAGTCAATTATCAAATCCTCTAAACTGTTTCTTCAAAACATCTTGTTTTGTCTTTCCTCTTGATCTCAACACTGCTCTAAATCCTTATAATACCAAAACCAAACCTGCTGCTGTCAAGTCAGTTCCAACTCAAAGCGACCCTACAGGCCAGAGCAGAACTGCCCCAGAGGGTTTCCAAGGAGCAGATGGTAGATTTGAGTTACCAACCTTCTGATTAGCAGCCGAGCTCTTAACCATTGCACCACCACGGCTCCAAATCCTTATAATACATACCACTTATCAAATACTTGCTAAGTGCTAGGCACTGTGCCAACTGCTTCATAGAGCCTGTCTCATTTAATGCTTATAAGAGTGCTATGAAACAGGTATTAATGATACCCATTTTACAAAAAAGGAAACTGATCCTTAGCCACTTTACCTAGGTTACATAAATAATAAGTGGTAGAATCAGGATTTGACCCTCTAGGTAGTCTGACTCCAGTGATAGCACCTTAAACCATTATTAACATAAAGCCTTGTTGCTTTGATTATGGAAAACTATCTCACAGCTAGGTGGACTCTAGGCTCTTCCCACTATAATGCATCCTCCTTAGAATAGTGCTTTTAACAAGTAACTCCCTTATAAACAAAGTCTCAATGGAGCTGCATTTACTACTGCTTTAAGTTTAAACTTCTATGTCTTTCTTTCAAGGTCCTGGCCCTAGCCACAATATTTTATATTCTTTCTAATATAGCCTATCCAGTCAAAATCAATTCAATCTTCTCATTGTTCTACAAAGACATCATGTTGTCTTTGAAAAATCCAGTTTTTATTATATTTCTTCTCTTCTGAATTCCTACAATATTCAGACTTTAGATTTGTAGAATATTTTAAATGTGGATTAATATTATTTCTCAAAAGAATGCGGAACAGATTTAAGAGGAAGTAGAAGGATGATTTTGTCTGAGGAGATCTTCTAAATAGAAAAGCAAAGAAAAATGAATAACTGATCATAGTATGCAACTTTGTCCTACAAGTTTATTTATGACTCCTGTTTATACTGGTTTGATCTGAAAAGAGAAACATACCTGTAGTAATTAAGACATAAGTAGGTGAACTCTCCAATTGGTGTTTGGTTCCAAAGTGCACATTTTGATGGAGGAAAGTAGAAAGGTACAATTCTTGAAGGAAGCCTTAAAAAAAAAAAAATTAAATCAAAGCACAAGGAAAATCAAACTTCACAGAAATTTTGTTAAGAACCAGTTAACTATCTTTAAATGATGGAACTTTATCAGATTATATTTGTAATTTCAGAGGAGTTGAAAAATATTTATAAGTAAAACAAGAAATAAGAATACTCACTTGGAATTCTACTATCAGGAGAAAAAAACACTCAAATTTGGGTATAACCGTTTTCTGCCTTTTTCTATATACACACAAGCTTTTATAAAAAAAATTTTTTTCTTGTATCAATCAAATAAAATCCACGAAAAATTAGTATAAACCACGAATTTACATTTAAATTTAAAATCTCTTTCTATCCTAATTTCTTGACCTGCTAGATAATATCTAATAAAATCATGGAAAGCACAAAAACTTCTTGGATTTTTAATTATGCTTCCAAACTTGGTATCTTAAGTTCTATCACACAAGTTTAATTATCGAAGCATCAAAAGGACATTAAAATAAAAATTCCTCAACAAAGATTCTAGGGGTAGTGTAAAGCAAGGTTTCAATGATAAATCTTACAGGGTACCATTATAAAGTTTTATTTTACATAAAAGAATAACATGAAAAAAATCATCACAAGAAAAAGTCAATGGAAAAGGAATGGGGAGAAAATACAGCCTAAAGTCACACATAATTAAAGCAAGAAAGCTCTGGCAATGAGCTGCCTCCAACAATGCATTTGCATGGTGGTAACCTCTGCCTGTTCCCCCTCCCCCCAGTCTGTCATTTTTGTCATTCTGTGGTAGCTTGTGTGTTGCTGTGACGCTGGATGCTATGCCACTGGTATTTCAATACCAGCAGGGTCACCCATGGCAGACAGCTTTCAGCAGAGCTTCCAGACTAAGACTAGGAAGAAAAGCCTAGCAATCTACTTCTGAAAATTAGCCAATGAAAACCTCAGGATCACAGCTGAACACTGTCTGTCTCACTTGCTTTGGAGACATCATTAGGAGGGATCAATCACTAGAGGAGGGCATTGTGTTTGGTGAAGCAGAGGGCCAATGAGGCTGAGGGAGACCCTCAATGAGATGGATTGACACAGTAACTGCAACGACGGACTCCAACATGTCAGCGATCACGAGGATGACACAGGACAGAGTAACGTTTCATTCTGTTGTACACAGGGTTGCCATGAGTCAGAGTTGAGTCGATGGCAGCTATCTATCTATCTAAGCTATTAAATAGTTGAACAGAAAGATTATCATATAGTGCACTAAGAACACCTTGTTCTAATACTGGAGAAATCAGCACAACTTGACCAACGCAAAGTCATAGAAGCTTCACAGACATATCCAAACTCAATGAGAGACCAATGACAGCTGGGGACCATGGTCTCAGGGGACATCTAGTTCAACTGGCATAACACAGTTCATAAAGAAAATGTTCTACATCTGACTGTGGTGAGCAGCGTCTGGGTTCTTAAAAGCCTGCGAGCAGCCATCTAAGATACATCTACTGGTCCCATCCGGCTGGAGCAAAGCAGAATGCAGAAAACCAAAGGTACAAGGGAAAGATTAAGCCAAAGGACTAATGGAATACAACTACTACAACACCCACCAGACTGAGCCCAGAACAGAATAACCAGATGGTGCCTGGCTATCACCACCGACTGCTCTGACAGGGATCACAATAGAGGGTCCTGGACAGAACAGGAGAAGAATGTAGAACAAAATTCAAATTCACAAAAAAAAGGACCACACTTGCTGGTCTGACAGAGTCTGGAGAAACCCCAAGAGTATAGCCCCCTGACACCGTTTTAACTCAGTACTGAAGGCACTCCTGAGATTCACACTTCTGCCAAAGATTAGACAGGTCTATACAGAAAACAACAACACACCTGAGGAACATGCTTTGTAATTCAATACTAAATGGGCACACCAGCCCAAAAGCAAAGACGAGAAGGCAGGAAGGGACAGGAAAACTGGATGAATGGAAACATGGAATCCAGGGTGGAGAAGGGGAGAGTGTTGATACACAGAAGGGTTGACAACCAATGTTACAAAACAATTTGTGTATTAATTGTTTAATGAGAAACTAATTTGCCTGTAAACTTTCACCTAAAGCACACACACAAAAAAGAATACCTTGTTCTAGACCTTACTTTCATCTATCATCTGATGAAGCTTCTCAACTAAAATACTAGCCCCAGTTTACTGATCGCCTACTATGTTCTTGGCTTACTGACCATCTACTATGTACCGGCATCCTACTGGGTACTTAACACATGTAATATTTCTCACTATAGCTGTTCCAGGAAAGCTTTATAAGCCACTTTGTAGATAATGAACTGTAACTTTCCTAACTTCATACAGCAATTAGGTAGCAGAACTGGAATTTGAATCTAGGAGTGTCTGATTTCATAGCTTGTACTTCTAGAAGCTGAATGGTGTAGGAGTTTAGTCTTGGTTCAAATACTGGCTTCCTGCATTCCTAGCTGTGTACTTTCAAATTCTCATCTAATTTGAGCTCATATCTATATGAGGGATTTCTAATCCCCTTTTTTCAAGGTGAAGATACAGTCTGAGATTTAAAAACTGGTTTAAGGTCACAAAGCTAGTAAGTAACAACTCCGTCCTGTCTAATATATTTATAATTTACCTATCCTTGAGAGGCACTATGACTTAGTAATTAACAGCAAGGAGACTGGATGGAAATCAGCTGCTTGACTCTGAAACCTGGCTTCAAAACTTACTAGCTGTGACCTTGATCAAGTTACTCAACTTCTCTGGGATAATATTAGTACCTCCTTGTAGAGTTACAGTGAATATTAAATGAGGCAATATTTGTAAAGCACTTAGAACAATTCCTGGCTCCTGACAGGTGCTCAATATTAGCTATTTCTTTTTCAATTTCAGTAGTCCACAGTGCCTTTAAAGCTCAACCTGCACTATTTCAGATTTACTTCCTAGGCTGTGTAGGGTAGAAGTTAAGCCAGGTTTAAATTCTAGTTATCCCACTTACCAACTATATATACTTGGGACAGTTAATCTATGCCACAGTTTCCTCATTAAAAAAAAGTGTGGATAATAATAGTACCTACCTCATAGGTTTGTTGTGGGGATTAAATAAAAGTAATGTGTATAAAATGTTTAGCATGGCACTTGGCACATAAGACTTTAATAAAAGTTATTATTAGCCTATTATTATTTTTAGCATTTTTCTTAATCTGGGGTTCACAGACTTTGGAGTCAGGGGAGACACAAATCCCTTGAAATTGGGTATAAAATTTTACATGTATATGTGTAAGTGCTTTTCCCTGTGAATGGGATTCAAAGGGGTCTATAACCTAAAAAAATTCCAAACTCTGTCTTTGAACCCAGAAATTATTGAAAACCAAGAGGTCACTAAATGAATAAAAGAAATTAGAGTTGGATATACCAGAAATAATTAGTTTAAAGCACATGAATATACTACCAAAAAAACCCAAAAACCAAACCCATTGTCATCACGTCGATTCTGACTCACAGCAAGCCCATAGGGTTTCTAAGGCTGTAAATATTTACAGAAGCAGACTGCCACATCTTTCTCCCGTGGAGCCACTGGTGGTTTCAAACCACCGACTCTTCGGTCAGCAGTCCGTCTCTTTACCCACTGCACCATCAGGGCTCCCCTGTGACTATATTATAGTACCTAAAACGTAAAGAATGAATTTAACGAATTTGATACTATAGTCAATCTGATAAAGGAATAAAAAGGAAAGACTGTATTAAACTTGTTGCACAACTGGACCTTTAAAAGAACTTAAAAGAAGCTGACACATTCTCAATGAATATTTACAGTTGCTTTAATCTAAGAGGTGGTAGTGGGGTAGAACCAACCGAACAACAAATTGCCATGGAGTCAATTCCTACTCATAGTGACCTTATACGACAGAGTAGAATAGCCCCATAGGGTTTCCAAGGAGCAGCTGGTGGATCTGAACTGCCGACCTTTTGGTTAGCAGCCAAACACTTAACCACTGTGCCACCAGGGCCCGCAGTGGGGTAGAACAGAAGGGCCAAAATTAAAGCAAAAGGAATATGATAGCCTCCTTGGATTTTGTTTCCCGTTGTCTTCATCAAGAACATCTGGCACAAAGAAAACCAATACAGAGAATAAAGGCACCCTAAAGATGCAATTCTAGTTTGGAAGAAAAAAAAATTCACGTATCAGCATTAATTGCTCTTCCCTAGGGGAAAAAGAACAATAAATGATCCAAGAAATCAAATAACACAAGCCAGTTTGCTTGGTTCCCACATTAATGGCAGACTGAGAAAATTAGGAGACAGGTGGCAAGCTCTTCCTTCCTATTCCACACGAGTGGGAAAAGGCTTGGGGACTTGTGAGAAACCCAATGTGAAATTTTTCTTATCAAGAAATAAATAGTTCTTGAAAGAGGGAAGGAACCCAATCACTTTCCCACTTGTCTAGGATGTAGGGTTTTTAGCCTCAAGAGTTTTCATCAATAAGAAAGATCCTCTGTATAACTAAAATAAAGGAAGGAGGGAATAGGACTAATATTTATCGTCTACTATGTACTAGGCTCTTTTAGTAATCTTATTTAACCCTTCATAATAATATTCTTTTAGAGATTGAAAACAAAAACAGTTGCCATCGAGTTGATTCTGACTCACGGCAACCACATGTGTGTCAGGGTAGAAATGTGCTCCATAGGGTTTTCAGTGGCTAATGTTTCAGAAGTACATCACCAGGACTTTCTCCTGAGGTGCCTCTGGGTTAGCTCGAACCTCCAACTTTTTCGTCAGCAGCCAGGTGCATTAACCAATTGCACCACCCAGGGAGAAATTACTATGTTAATTTTACAGATGAGGAATCTGAGGCTTAGAGAAGTTAATTAACTTGACCAAGGGCACCCACCTAATAAGTGGTAGAGCTGGGATATGGAACCAGATTTTCCTGATTCTAGTGCTTATGTTCTTTCCTCTATTCCAACCTCCTTTTTCAAGCTATGTGAGCAGCTATGAGAAAAACATTTTGTAAAAATATTTCTATACCTGCTATTCATCTGGGGTCCTGCAAGAGGATACATAGGCTCCATAATTTGGTAAATGATTCATTCAATTTCAAATGCTCAGTAACCTAAAAAAAGAGAATATTACAAATAACAAAAACAAAGTTTTTACCACTTATTAACAAGATTACAGGCAAAAATAACTAGGTTACTTATATGAAGTATCTTATATATTAATAAGATAAAATGCTTGTGGATTCTGCTAATCATTTTCATACTTTATGGTCATTCTCCCCATAAATTAATTCTCCCCCAAGATCAACTTAACGAGCTGGGCACAGCAGGCAATATCTTAAGCAGGTTTCTCTCCCTCGCATACACCCATACACAGAAGATGCATGTTATATGACTTTGCCAACGTCATGCACCTTGTGACAAGGTTTATAACTAGAATTGGAGGTCTTCAGACCTCCCAAGCCCACTATGCTCTTGTCATTACATCTAGGTAGTGAAATGTTGTAGTATTTTTATGTATTATGTATTGTTACTTTGTACTTAAGAGGACCCTTAAGGACTGAGGAAAGGATCTAAAACATGACCTTCTTTGCATGTGGTAAACCTTACAGAAAAATCACAAAAGATTTTACTCATGTTAATATGCAAACAATGATTTATTTTGAAAACTGTATTGTACCTAGATATTCCCCTTTACTCCTGAGAGAACTGGTATGAAAGATTTAAAGAAATTAATTAGCATTTCTTTTGTTAATCAAATGTAATAATACAAAATTGTTAAATTAATATAAGAAATTTTTAACAAAAGCCTCAAAGTGTTCTGAAAAATCACAAAGCAGCACACAGGAACAATTTTGGCTAGATATTTATTGGACCTATAATGAAAGTCATCAAGGAATCTTCAGTCTTGTAGATGGAAGACAAATACTGCATCCTCACAAACTTTTATCAGTGTTAAATCAGTAATCTTTTTTTTGGCTCCACATGTCGTCTCTGAGTAAGTTTATCCACTCCCATTGTTTCCACACCCATCTATGTAAACACCTCCAGCTTTCACCTCTCTTCTGTGTTTCAAATCCATATTTCTAATTGCCCACTAGATATTACCATCTAAATATTATCCAAACAAAATATAGACCTCATAATCCTTTCTTTCTTTATATGTCAGTATTTCCTATATTCTTTCATTAAGCCTTATATTTCTTTAGGCCCTGCATGCTATTTCAATTCTAGTAAAAAGGAATTGTCTGAAGCAAGATAAGTAAAAAGAGTCATTAATGCAGGTATAGAAGTCGTTTAGAGGAAATTCTTTAGATAAAGTCGGAGACTGAAAATATTTACAAGAACCAAATCCTATTGAAAGTACCCCTGTAAGGTTGCCTAAAAAGTCCCTTTTGTAGATATCTGGTCTACAAAGGTTTAATGTATCTTCTATGGAATGTAGGCTTTAATTTCCAAAGCGTTTTTATGCCATGTAGCTATCATGGATAACAGTATACACATTAATAACTGTAATTTTATAAGGTATATAAAGTGACATTTTTCTTCCTTAAATGGAATAGTCTTAAAACTCCATATTTGTCTTTTCTTTCTTTTTGCATTAGGGTTAAAAAATAGGATAATTTTGATTCATTTTTCATTTTAAAGCAATACACATATGGCATTTTATTCTGACAATATCACATAAGTGATCAAAGCTAAGGAAACTAAAACCATATAACATCTATACCTAGCAAAACATATTCTTCTCAGATGATGGCATTGTCTAGCAGATGGAAACCATGAACTCATCCTTACCTCTCCTTTCTCCTTCTGCCATATAAATTCTGCCTTTCCATGCCCACTGCCTTAGTTCCTAACCTTATATCACCTCTCCCTAGGTTTAGTGAAAAGTCCCTACAGTGCTGCTAGAAGGGTATTTCTATACAAATCTGATCAAGTAATTCCTCTGGTTAAAAAGTTCTGACGGCTTTTCTTTATACACAGAACAAAGAATCTGGCCCCACCCGATTATTCCAACCTTACATCACCTTGTCCACTCATCCTACATCCCAAATTGAACTACTTGCAGTCGCCCTCCCGCTCCTTACCCCCTCTCCCCATTTTAGTGTCTTTGCACAGGCTGTTCTCTTTACTTGAAATGCCCCGGTAAACTATTATCCTTCACAATCCAGCTCGAATGTCACTTCCTCTGAAACCTTCTCCTAGACTCTAGGGTGATGTTTCTATCGCTGTGTTCACATACAGAGTTTTTACGAACTTCAAAAATTGAATGACTCCTTATCATGTGACAGAATCTAGGTAGCTATTGAGAGAAATGCAAGGACAAACAATACAGGATCTCAATCTTTAAGAATTTTCCTCTTTAAAAGCAACTCTAAGCGGCACGTAATCGACTGTAAACCTTTCACATACCTTATTTCAGACGATTCCCAAGGAATCTGTGGTCCGCTTAGCTCCCCCCCATTAGCTGCCCTTCTGGTCATCGGCCTCAAGATCCTGGAGGGCTGAACCCACCACAGGACCCTGAATGTTACCGTCCTTCCCCAGGCCCCATGGAGAGATTCCAGGGAAAGAACCTTACCCATTCTTGCCGCCGCCCTTCAGGAAGAACCAGGAGGGCAAAGTCCCACTCACCGCAATCTCTCCCGAAGCCGGGGTCTGTTTGTTAGGCCAGAACAGAGGCGAGCTCCAAGAAGCGCCTCCACGGACTCCGGCCCCGCCTCTGGGACGTTGGGGTCGCGGGAACAGAGGCGGCAAACACAACCTCACGAAACCATAGCCCGCGCCGCGCCTGCTGAGTGGCCAGAAATCCGACCCATCAGGAGCGGGGGCGGTGCTGGTGTCGTCAAGCTCGGTCGCTGCAACGTGCCGGCCCACCAGCCAATCAATGCCCCGCACCGTCTCGCGCTCGGCCAATCCTAAGCCTCTAAGGAGAACAGAGGGCGCCACCGGCGCTCCAGGATCCGGGTCCGGAGAATTTAAATGTTCCCTTTTCGTCAACGGTTTTGAGTTCCGGGGTGGGACGGGTCTTGCGCATGAGCAGTGAGAACCCCAGCGGGCTGGCTGTTGAGGAACCCGGAAGGGCTGGTGGCTGGTGCTCGTCCCTTAGGTTTGGTGGTTTGAGACGACTGGATGCTGAGGCCTTAGAAACAGTTCCCTAACTCTGCTTGAATGGACAAGGAAGAGGGGAAGTTAGCTTTCGTACAGTGTCTTTTCTCAGAAGCAAAAGATTTCCTCTTGAGCGGAAAAGAATATGAACCATTCTACTTATCTCCACAACCACGTTGGTACTGTGCCTTCTCCGCCATAATCTTATTTTACTGTACCCGAGTAGACAGGAGTTGTCATCCCTATTCAACAATGGGAAAAGGTTACACAGACTCCACTTTTGTTAGTCTCCTGAGCAATATGAGTGTCTTAAAAAGTCTGAGCTGCATTTGTAGGCTGTTCTGTTCCGAGTCAGCATCTACCCTTTTGAGAGAGTGAAAATACTCTCCTGAGAAATGTACCAAACTAGCCGATAAATATATGCTCCAGAGAGTGTCATACTCTGTCCTGGAAAAACTCTTATAATCTAGGTCACACATCTTGAAAATCATGGCCAGTGTGTGAGCTTGAATAAGAAAACTTAATAGGAAATGGTGCGGAGGACAACGAGAAATGTCGCTATCTAATCTCCTAGGGTCCCCACCTGGACCAAATTCACTCTTAAGAAGTAGTATTTGTTGTTGTTAGTTCCTGTTAACGCTCAAGTGCTAACCTAAAGGTTGGCGGTTTGGAACCCACCTAGCGGCTGTGCCGAAGAAAAGACCTGGAGATAGCCAAGAAAACCCTATAGAGTAGTTCTACTCTGTAACACATGAGGTTGCTGTAAAGGAAGAGTATAGCTAATTCTAATAATAATAAAGAGCTGCAGTTACCAAGTGCCAGCTGTGTGCCAAGCACTGTTAGATGTTTTATGAAAGAGGTGGACATTGATATTCCTTTTCTATAGATGGAGAACTAGAAGACTGGAGAGGTCAAAGAACTTTTCCCAAGGTCATACATGCTATCTGTAAACTCATGAGCGTAAAATCTGTGAGCTTTGTTCACCCTCTATCCCCATAAGAGTGCCTTGCATATGGTAGGCACTCAGTAAATATTTGTTAAATGAGAAGAGGCCACACAGCTAAATAAGTAGAGAAGTCAAGACTCAATCCAAGTGAGAGAATAAAAAATAGAAAATACCTAAAGAATGTCTGACAAACATGGTATCTATATTTAAGAAAGTATGTGAGAAATTTTTGCTGGGCAAGTGGCGGGGGGAGAATAAATCAATATTTTTTTTTTGCATAATTATTTATGAGGTAGTTGATATAAAACACCTATTCTCCGAAAGTGTCTATGTATTTGTAAAGGGCTACGGGAACTAACATTTACTGAGTCCTTGGTATGTCCCGAACACTGCTAAGTGTTTACACGTTATCTCTTCAGTCCCTTAAAACAGTTGAATAAGATGGAATTCGTGGTTGCTATGAGTCAGAATTGACTTGACAGCAATGGGTTTGGTTTTTGGTTTTATATTACAGATGGGAGCCCTGGTGGTGCAGTGGTTAAGCGCTCAGGTGCTAACTGAAAGATCCGAGGTTCAAACCCACCAGCCCCTCCATGAAAGAAAGATACGGCAGTAGGCTTCCATAAAATTACAGCCTTGGAAACCCTATGGGGCAGTTCTACTCTGTCCTATAGGGTTGCTATGAATTGGATTAAACTCAACAGCAATTTTTTTTTTAAATTGGTGTATTATAGATGAAGTAACTGACAGAGAGATTAAATAATTCATCTAAGTTGCACAGCTACTTCAAACTTAAATCTGTGTGATCCCCGAACCTAGGTTTGTCTCTATATCCCAATCACTTATTGTTTTGTTTTTTTCTATAAAAAAGAAACAGTAAGACTAGAATAAGGGGAGTAGTGAGCTGGTAGAAGGAAGAAATAAACAAAAACTATGTGGCATTAACTTTAATTGAACAGTATCTGTAACACATGCCTTTTTATGTGTTTGTTCAATTGAATTGGGTTGAAATAACTGATATGAATAGGGTGGTGAAAATCTTGCAGAACAGAAACATTTTTCGGATGTTACAGATTTGGACAAAAAAAATCAAAACTAAAATCCGTAAGATTCATTAAAACATTCTCCACAAATATTTACTGAGTGCTATTAAGTGCCACACACTTAAAGTGAATAAAACAAGTCTCTGCCCTTGTGGAGTTTATGGGGGTACTTCTGTGGAGACAAACAAATAACTAAGTTAAATATATAATAAGTCAGATGGTGGTAAGTACTACAGAGATAAATAAGGCAGAGCAGAAGGATAGGAATGGGAGTGGATGGAGGGAAGTGGGTCGCAATCTTAAGGAGGGAAGTAGGGAGGCCTTACTGAGGTGACATTTGAGCAAATACCTGAAGGAAATGAAGGAGTGAGCCATGGGAATATCTGGGGAAAAGTTTTCAGAATTAGGAGTGCAAGAGGTTTACTGAGGGGTTTGGTGGGGGGAATGCCTGTGAAAGATAAAAGGGAAAGGAAACAGGATTGGGCAGGGAGAGCCTCAGACAGTGATGCATGTCTGACAAAGTGTTGGTCAACCCACGGGAGCTTTGGAGCAAAGAGTGCCTATTAGGCAGAAATTGGTAGGTCCTAGAACTCTTGCT